TTGAAAAATCTTCAATTTTCTTTGCTAGTGAGTAAGGAAATTACTGCTTTTCAAAATGTCACACTACACAACTTCATTAGATCAGGTTTGTGCAGAACAGTGAGAAAAAGACTATTACAAGAAAATATTCTGAGAAGGCTGAAATTTTCAAAAATATATTTTTACACCCTGACCTGCCCCCCATCCTCCCCTCCCCCGAGTCCTACAGAATACAAGGAGAAGCTAGAGAAACAGAATCCATTCAGTCTTATACATCGATTCTTCTGTTATGTAAACTATTTCTGAATCAGTTTTAAAATAATCTGAGGATTAGAAGGGCTCTACAGTATACCGCAGTAGGTCTGGTTGTATACTGTGTGCCTGTGGATCCATGCCTCTGCTCTCGCTGGGCAGTGTGTTTTGATGTGGGAGGCCAGAGTTCTTTCAACAGTTAATAGCTCTGTAAATTATATTGGTAGAATATAAATAAATATGGTAGTTCTTGTGGTGAGAGTTTCCTTCCAGTGTTGCTTTTAGCATCCTGGCGTAATTCCCAAAGAATACTCTATTAATGATTTGTACAAGTATGAATGTTACCTAAAAGGAATAATTTACCTTGTATGCCTTTTAGGAGAGGGAGCACTGAGAAGCTTAACTTTATCAGGCCTGAACTATTAGAGGGGGAAAATAGCTACAAAGGTTCTTCTGCAGGCTTATTCATAAGTCTGTTTTGAGAAGGTCAAGTAAAGAAGCCTCCAGTGCTTCCATGGAGTCCGAGGTCTTTGGAGAAATTTGGCATTATAACTCAAGCTAAGGCAAGACACTTTCATACAAAACTTCTGTGTAGCAATTTCTGTTCTGCTCTGAGTGAAACCTGTGTGTTTTGGAGTCTTTGCACTGAGGAAGGCCTGTCCCACGGTGAACAGTGTGGTACTGTGGAGTGCTGGGTGCTAGGCATGGCTCGAAGGCATCCACCTGAAAGAGAAACATTTCCCTTGGGAACAGAAAATTGGGATTTTAAGTTTAGCATGTCTCTTGTTCTCACTGGAATGCCAGTTGTGTGCTGACTCCTAGTGGTTTGTTTTTGCATGTATATGGGGTTTTGGTTTGATTCCTTTTATTTTTACTGTTCTTGCTCTGTTTTGTTTCAGTAGTTCTGTGGTGATCTTAAGAATGCTTTCCTGACAAAAACTTGTGCATGTGGTGGTTGAGGTTTTATTTTTATTTTCCTGTCAACCGACAGACATCTGCAAAAAGCTTTGGGTTCAATAAATTGTCATTTCCTGGTGGAAAGATCCTCTGTTTTTAAAAACAAACCCCGTATAATAATCCTTTAACTTCTGTTGGTATCTCTTCTCCCTGCGTAAAGTGAAAGATAAAGCCCACTTAGAAACAACATTTAGGGAGTTATGACTTACAGTGCAGCACTGCAGGGGCTGTAAGTGATGTCTTTGGTTTGATTAAATGAAGAATATGAATTGCCTTTCACTTCTCTGTGGCTGTGCTTTATGCAGAGTAACTCCTAAATGCATTTAAAAATGAAACCTATCAAGTGTCTCTTGGCAAATACAGCCTTTTGAAAAGTATAACTGTGCATGTTTTATATGGTAGCTTCCTTCTTCAAATATAAGAACACTGCACTCATACTTGCTTCTTCTGTAAAGGAGTCTGTTAAGGAAGCCAAGTGCAGGCTTACTGTAAAGGACCCATCTGCTCCCCCAAGTTGTAGTGACCAGTGTTGCATTTTATGGTTGTAACTGCACGATCTCCTCTTTATCCAGGGCAGGCATGGTCCTGATATAGGAATATCTTGCACTTGATATCAGTACCTACAAACTAACAAAAATGCTTACAAGATTTAAGCATCTCAGACCATCAGGTTTCTTTCTCTCTTCCTTCTCACACATTTGTCTTTAGATTAGTAAAATACACTATTGCATATATTTTCAAAATTCTTTTCAGGATGATGCTGAGATATTTTTCTGGCTGTATTTATTTTATTTTTAAAAGCAATAAAGCAAGATACCAACCAACCCAAGTCCCTGAACATTGATTATCACTGAGGGCTAATAGTTGCAGGCCCAGGAAATCTTTACACACTTCTGTCTGGTTCCCCAGAAGATCCTGATGATTCTGATTTTCTTACTCTAAAGAGAACTGAATTAGTGCCACTTAACAGTCAACATCTGAATATTATCAGCCTGTGAGATGCAACTGGGTCTTGGGTTTGTGCAGTTTAAGGCTCTGATGTGTGAGTGGTGGTGCCTGCAGCTGTAGGAACCGGCATTCCTGCCCACCCCAGCTCTGAACTGGGGTGGTGACATTTTCTCTGATGAGGATGTCCTATTGCAGAAGGGTGGTGTCTTACTCTTTTAGAGCTAGGAAATGCTGCATTAGAGTAAGGGTGTGTGTGAGAAGTCTAACCCAGCGCTGACTCCAGCAGTGCCAGGTCCCCCAAAAGTGAGGCCAGCCATGGTCATGGCAGTGCTGGTGGAGGGGCTGGGGCTGGTGTGTCCACCATTTATCCCTGCTTGTGTGAGAGAAAGGGATTTTCTATCATGAAGAGGGGGTTTCGACCATGCTTTCCCCCTGTGCCGGTGACAGCATGCCTGCCTTCTCAGAGCTCCCCATTCACTCTGCAGGCTCTCAGCTGCAGCATGTTCCCTTGGCTCAGAAGCTCTGCTCTTGTCTGGCCCCTTGCCCTTGCAGCCACTGCCTTCAGATCTGCCTGCCTGGGAAATCGTGGGCTGGCTTTGCCTAATAATTGAGACAAATGAATGATTGCTGTCCCCTTGGGCTAACTGCACATGTAATCTATTCTTCCCTGTTCTCCAGGGCTTCTCTTTCCACAGAATAATACCCAACCACAAAAAAGCAAAGAAGCAGATTTTGTTGTTTAAATGGAAGGAAATAAAGGGCAAAAGGAAGGAGAGGCCAGAGCAATTTCTACATCCGTTCTTTCTAGATGCACTTACTGGTGCTGTGAGGAACAGTTGCTTTTCTCTGTGAACAGCAGACCTTCCCGTCACTGAGAAACTCAACACAACAATGAGAACCACTTGGTAGTGTTTCATCCCAAAAGGATGCTGTTGCACTGTTGTTGTATGAGACTGACTTCTTTCACCTACTAGGGAAGAAAAATTCCTTGCTTTTTGACCCCTCCTACGGTTCATTGCTGTTGCTTTTTGTCAGGAATCTCCCTCTGGTTCTTTTGCTCAGAGTGATTGTCACTGCCATCATATAATTATATGCTAATTGTATCAGATAAACATTACTGTGAACCTAGTAGTTTAACAAATTTTCTGTAGCTATTTTGGCATGTATACATATATATGAGTTAACTTGGTTTAATCTGGGATGAAACCGTGCTGATCAATTCTGGAAACAAATAAATGGTTGTTCAGGGTGAATGCATGTTGTCTGCTTAAGGAGGAATATACTGTTTTGTTTGATCTAGTTGTGCCAGAATTGGTCTTCAGTATTATATGTGGCGGTTTTGACAAGCAACTGTATTTAGTAATTAATTTCTGAAACATTAAATAAGTAATAGCAGTTATGAAGTCCCTGTTCAGTGCTCTGGAGGTCTAGCCATGTTTGAGTAGCAGAATGTGATGGTTTTTCTGTGTTAAATCCATGTAAGCATTTGATTATTGAATTCTTAGTGACTAGTGAAACAGAATACTATGAATGTCATGTTAGAAAATGAGTGCTGTTGTGATTATCAACATACACATTCAGTATGTTCACTTTGTGCTTATATTTCAGGTTTTGTGGACTGTCTATTAACATCCAAATGCAAAACTAAGAGTAGAAAAAGTGTCAGAACTCTTCATACATCTTTCAGATAACATATGGGAGTATGCATTAGGTGAAATTTGATAATCCCTCAGGAGTACTCTCATCCTGGATACTAGAGAGCCTTGGTTTAGCTACCATTTGGAGTGCACTGCAATTGGTATTGGCATAAGGGATTTAAGGGTAACACATAAATGTGCAAAAGCACATTTGAAATTAATTTAAGAAACAGGGTGCCTTAATCTCATATAAGTTTCTCTTTACATAGTTTGGAATTACAGGAAGCCTTTAATATGAGAATAAATTGTTTCACTCTGAAATGTCTCTGTTTTGCCACCATGGTGTATATGGGCTGTACAGGAAATGGGAATTGGGCTCAAAGTTGGCATAACCAAGTGAGTGAAGAACCAGTATAAAGTCCAGCACTTAAAAAGCAGGTGTAATAGGTTGCTAGATAAAATGAGATGGATGGTACTTCTGATAAATGGCAGTTTGGACATAATATTTATACATAAATACATAATATTTACATTTTCACTTGTCTGTGGGCTAATGGGTAGAATGAGGGCATTGCTCTGCTTAATTTTCACTCTGGTAAGCTTGCAGTAATTATGCTGGAATGAAAATGGTGATTTCTGATTCTTTAGGCTGTAGAGATCTGATTTTCTCAAGGCAGTATTTCTCTGAATTGCATTTACTAACTAATTATATGTAAGGTTAAAAGTGGTTCTTAATCTTCTGGCCCATATTGAAACCAGTAGTTTAAATACGGTGGTGATAGGTGTATGAATAGCAGTGCTTTAGAATGGATTTTTGCATCTCCTTTTTTTAAGACCAAACTCCAAACTGCCTCCTCTTTGGAAGAAGAATCTGGATTTATGGAAAGTTGTATGGAAAATTCTTTTGGGGGGTGTGGGGGGAAATTGCAGAGCAGTCCTTCTGAAATGACTTCTTATTTTCCTAAATAAAGGTTTTGTTGCTAATATGTAATGTTACTGGGGAAAAAAACACTGAATAATGGAATATGACTTTGTAGGCATTTTATAACTTTTTATTTGCCAAAACTGTTATCAGAGCATGAAAGAATTAGTATGAATCTTATCAATTGTTTTTGCTACCTTTTAGAAGCTCAACCAAAATTTACAAGTCTGTGTAAAAATAAGATGAAAAAAAAGTTTTTAATACCTTTTTTAAAAAATTTGTTTTTCTTTCCTTTTTTATAATAGGGCTTTATTTGTCCTCTTTGTATGAAGTCTCATGGATCAGCTGAGGAGCTATTCAAGCACTATGAAGCAGTTCATAATTCTGGCATTGATTCAACTCATGGAGGGGAAGGTCATCTGTCACCGGAAAGGTGAAACAGTACTCACTTGTGCATGTGCTTTTGTGTCAGTGTTGAGTTGCTTCTAATTACACTGAAGGCTGTATTAATCTGAACACTTAATTATGTATGCTGCATTTGCAACTACAGTTAAAAAGCAGCTTGAAACTTCATTGGCTGATATTGATCTGACAATAAATGAAAATAAGATACACATGTTTATATTGTTAATTAAATCACTTATTTCTCCAGCAGCTGACAATGCAGTATTACACACTGGAATGATTTTTAGGAGTGTGCAGAAAAAATACAGGTTCCTCCTAATTTCTGGCATAGAGCTAAATTTCATCTTTTGAGGGTGTGTGAGGACAACCCTGAAGATGGAGAAAAAACCTAGCTTTGTCCTGGGTAGTTAGAGTACTTACTGTGTAATTACAACATCAGTATTTGCCTAAATAGGCTTCCATATTACCTAGTAAGTTGCAAATCAGAAGTTTCTGTCTGTGTCACTAATTCTTCTCCTGTGTTCCAGAAACTCCATGCTGGTCTTCAGACATCTCTAATTTAGTTTATTTAAATGTTTGGTCAAAATTGTATTGTTAAATATGTTCCTAGGAAATGTATCCAATTGCTTTATTTTTAAAAGCAGCGGTATGTAGCAGGAACTGATAACATGAAACTTTATCTAGAAAACTTTAACTGAATAGTTTGCCTGTGTTGGTTCAGGAAGCTTTTTCTTAGGAGTAAAATTTATGTAGGTTTCCTTTTGCTTCTTGCTAGTTACTTTTCTGTTCAGTGTTTGTTTTGGACTGTTGTAAATGACAGACCATACTGCTGTTTTGTCATGTTCCTCCAAATTCCCTTGGTTTGTACACAGCAGTGTTAAGAGTGTGCAGCTGCTTGTGGCCTCATTCAGCACTGAGGTACACACCACAAGACCAATGATATGAAATACATATATTTATGTAATTAACTCAAGAGGCGGTGGTTCTTTGGTGAGAAAGAAGTGTGGAAGGTAACATATTTCAGTTGTTATCCAAATGAAGATCCCTATCTCCCCAGTATTGTGCAGAGCTGGCAAGTCAGTAAGAGCCAGCATTAGCAGAGGCTTGTCTTCATGCACGATGAGCCCTTCCCCGTGGATAGCTGCCTCCTCTCCCAGATGCTGCAACAAAAGAAATTATGGCTTTATATAGGAGAAAGTTGTAGGTTCTAGTGGAGTTATGCTGGGTTTCCTACGTGCACATGTATTCAAGAATGAGTATTAATGCTCTGTCTGATTTAAACCTTTTTGGAGCGATATAACTTAGACCTGAAATGATACTCTTAGTAGAATAATGGCATTCACGTGGAGGAATTATTCATCATAACTATATTGTTTATATAGTTTATTAAATACTTATTTTTATGCCTGCAAATTTCCAATGTCAACCAGATGTAGGCTGGTGAATTTTTTTTTTCCCCTGTTTTTTTAAAGTTTAAGGACAAGTGGTTTTGTTTTTCTCTCATATAATTGAAAAAGTAGACAAGGTCAGGAAGTTTGGATGGAGTGAAGGGAGTCTGGTGAGAGCTGTTGTGTAACACATGAGCTATTTCTTCCTATTACTGTGGTATTCTTTAATGTTTCTCAGTTGGCATGCTTGCTTGAGAAAACTCTCATTCAACATAAACATGTTTTTCCAAGACATGGATTACCATATTAAAGAAATACTTCAGCCTGCATCAGGGAGCTACTCTGTTTAGCCTTCTAGGAGGGAAACTTACATGTAATTCATAGGAACAAGGCTGAGGTGAAATTCAATAGAGAAAGCTAGGTACTATGAATTATATTGTGTCCTCTTCCTTCCACAACATCAATAAACCACCATGGTTAAGAGTCAAGAATAAATCATGTAACTCTTCCCCAGTGCAGTTCAGCAAGACCACTGGTACTTGGTGCCGGGGTGGAGACACTGGTGTTACAGGTGGGGAATGGAGCGGATTATAAGGAAAAGGTAGTAAGGATTTGCCAGATGGTGAGGCTCAGATGTACTGAGAAGAGGAAGGGGTTGTAACAGTCGTGACAGAAGGGGAGATTTGTTGAGGATTTGGATGGCAGTATCAAAAAGAGTTACAGTGTCTACTGTGATACCTTACACTTTTTTTTTTCCCCATTCATTTTCCATTGGTCAGTTAAACTGAATTTAGGTTTCATCTGAAAACCATCAAACAAAACTATGTTGGGAATATCAAGGTAACTGCTATAGAAGGGTCCTTACATTACAAACGGTCTTCCCCTTCTCTTCCCCTCCTCCTTCCTCTCTACTACAAACTACTTTTACGCAGCTCAGAGCCTTTCATCTGCTATGAAGACAGGAGCATCTTAAAAGCTTTAGCATTGCAGATCCGGTATATATTCAGCCCAACTTCAATAAAGTTAACTGCTTCACCTGCCTGAGATTTCATGTATAATCTCAGGTGTGAATATTAGCTTATTTACTCATACTGGTGAGAAAGCTGCTCCCTCTTCTCCACTTACAACCAATGTATAGGTTTTGGATTACAGCTACAACTGCCTCAGTAAAGTATTTGCAAACCTTCAGTGAATGTCTCACACAAGCAGAATAATGTGTAAATAGCAGAAAATTATCCTCTGAAAAAAATTAACCTCCCAATATCCCATGTTTGTTTTGCCATTAAAATTGGTCCACCTTGGAGTTCTTGCTTTACTGGTTCAAGTGCATGTGTTTCACTTGCTTCTTGATCCTGATCCAATGTTAATATGCTGATGTAGATTGAATCTACATCAGTTTAGCTAAAGGAGTAGCTTGCTTTGGTTTTCTTTTTCCTTTGAAGTGAAAGAAAATTTGAGAGAACATCTGTGGAGGAGGGGATAATGCAGCACAGCAGCAGTAAAATTGTATGGTGTAAAACTAAGAGAATTTGTTGGCATTGGCACCTATATGTATATTCTGTGTACTTCTCAGTGTTGCCTCTATACAAACAATAAGAAAGGGTATGTTTGCATTATTTTCATGACCTGTGCATTCTAGATTTGGAGTGGCTGTATCTCAGTAATGCAACATTATCCTTGTATGTATATTGTGCAATTCTGTAAGGAGACCTGTAATTTAGGAGGGTGATATCTAAATTAGTTAGGAACAGTTGTAGCCTTGGATCTTGTGTTCTTGCATGACTGGAGGCTTAAGCATGAAATTTGAGAATTTAAATCCCAAGGCTTTAAGCATTCAGACCATTAAGTGAGTGTGTCTGTGGTGCATACCACATTGCTGTGTGGATGAAAAATTTTGTAACACTATATTTCAAAAGGAGTAAGATAGCATGCTGTCACTTATCAGTGTTCCTTTACATGATATGGGAAGTGAAGGGGAATAAACCTGTCCTTTTCATAAAAAGACATGCAAAACAGTTAAATGTCCCAATGCACATCTGCCATTCTGAACTCATGTGGTTGAGCTGATGCACCAATTTAGATACACATTCTGTTTTCATGAAACTTTTTGCATATCTATTTCTTTACTTATCCAGTTAACATGTTTATCATTATTTCAAGTGATGTGCAAAGTGACTAATAAGGATCTATTAATCTGGTTTGTGCCAAGTTTCAAAAAAATCTAAAAATAACTATTTATAATTATGTAAGTTATATTTATGTAGTACATGGCTGTCACTCCAGTTATTTAATACACGTCATAACCTGTATGTAATTGACAAAATATAACCACTACGTATTCATTTTTTCCACTCTGTGGGTATATTTATTCAGAGATGAAGTATCACTGCTCCGACAAGAAGTCCAAGATTTGCAAGCTTCGCTGAAGGTTGGAAATGTATTTTACTTGCACTTGGTTCTTTGTTTCAAATTGCAAAGTGTTCCACTGTCTTAAACAATGAAATTCACAGTTCTTTCTCCCCCATTTCCTTTTTTTGGTGGTGTTTCGTTTGTTTGTTTGTTTGATTTTGTTGGTTTTGTTGTTTGGTTTGGGTTTTTTTTTCCCCTAGGAGGAGAGATGGTATTCAGAAGAGCTGAAGAAGGAACTAGAGAAATTGCAGGGGCAGCGGCAGCAAGTAATTGCTTTAAAATACTTGAAGCAGGTTTATCATCAGCATTGACATTGAAGATTAATACCTTTTTTGTAAGGCACGTGGCCTGATTTAGTTAGTTCCATAATTTGAATATTGACATGTTCTTTAAAACAAAGCTAGTTATCTCTCCACAATGTAACTGCATATACAATTCTGAAGAACATAGTTAGAATAGATAATGATTCTTCCGTACTAGTCTCTACAAGTTCAGTTCAGACTTTTCCTTCTGTTGGGATTATTCAGAACTCAGTTTATTAAAGAAAAGAAGTGGAATGTGGTGTTTCATCTGTTATGAGAAAGGGTGATGGGATTTTTCTTGTAAGAACTTTTGGAGAACAGTAGTGGGATTTCACAGATGTCCATATGAACTGAACAAACTAGACAAAGCGAATTGTGGTGTGCTGTGCCCTAAGAAAGCGCTTGCTGCTTTTATTACTGTGAGCTACTTAGAAACTGAATTGTTACAAACCTCAGAAATCGCTTTCTGACAGAATGCCTTCCCAGAATGTATTTAATGATGTCTGTAACCTCTGTTTTTAGGGCAATTTCAATATTGAGAAAAGGGAGGGGGAGGGGATTGTTACTGCAATCTTGCAAGTCTGGAAGCCTGATAGTGTAGTGATGATACATGAAATGGAAAATCATCTTGGCCTTTTTCGGTCTTCCAGATAAAACTGTTTCAAATCAGGTATTTTTGCACTGCTGTGCAGTATTTGAGCATGGAAGTCTTCATTTCCTTTTGTTTCCAAAAATGGGATGAACTTTGGAAGTAGTAGTTTTCATTCCTGCTGTCTAATGATGCATTTATTCTGTTTTCTTAAGGATTCTAAGTCTGATGGATTGACAACGACTACATCTACAGGTGGCTAACATTTATTATATTAATTTCTGCACTGTTCTGGAATTTCTGAAATTTTTTTCAGTGTAGCTTTTAAGTTTATGAAAAAGCACTTTTGGTAAACTAACGAGCTAGAAAGCTGGAATGGTACAATTCCTGGGAAAAAAGTTCATTAAGTGCTTAAGATAGATAGCTCTTGATAGCTGTAGTCTGGGGAAATGTTCCAGAGGCTTGAGATATGTAATTGCTAGAAGTGAGACAGGAGTTCTTCTGACTCTGAAAGCAGTTCTCATGAGTAGTTTTGAACATGTTTTTAATCATTTCATCTATTCAAGCATTCAGTACAAGTCTTTTGCTGAGAAAGACAGTGATTGTTGATATTTAAACTATAGCATTTGTCAGGGCTGGTTTTATTTAGAGTTTTTCTTTACTCATTGCTAGCAAAGAAACAATTATTTTTTTGTTTGTTTTTTCATTTTGCAGACCAATAATTTTTGTTCTGTATTTTTCTCATGAGGCATTCATGGAATAAAATTTTCCTTATGTGTGCATAAGATATATCATGTGACTTTGCAATAAAGCGCTCTTTAATCATGTTTGGGGCTTGGAATTCAGCAGCATGTTGCAGTGATCCGAAGAGCTATTTGTGACCAGTGAAAACCAATATGTACTTAATAGTGCAAAGTACTCAACTAGTGACAGATTCCAGCATCATGCTTGTAGACATTTAACTTCAGTAAAGTTGTTCACTTTGCTAAGCTAATTGGATAAGTGAATTTGTATTACTTATTTACCTGCTTTTTATGGGTGTGAGTAACTGTATTGTCCTAGCTCTTCCAGAAAATAACACTGTTCTTTTTATGGAAATAGAATCATTAGAACGGCAACTAGAAGAAATCCAAGTAGAAAATTTTAACATTAAGCAAATGAAAGACTTGTTTGAGCAAAAAGCTGCGCAACTGGCCACTGAAATTGTGGGTAAGTATATTAACATGAGGTATGATTCTGTTCTTGTGCAACTTGTGCAAGTGATCATTTATTCAACTTCCTTCTTATTAGATCTTAAATCAAAGTATGATGAAGAAATCAGCCTTCGGGAAGGTGCAGAACAGAAAGTGACAAACCTGACACAAGAACTGCAGAAGGAGAGAAGTACAGTGGAATACTTAAAGACAGAGCTGGTATTCACATCACACTAATGTTTTTGTTATTTTCAGTTCAAGGGAGGGATATAATTAAATGTTTGCAAATGCAGTTTTAAAGCAGTCAAACTATTGAACTGGGAGACATCTGCTTGTCAGGACAGCATTGTTTCTGATCTGTTTCACTGACCTGTATTTTCAGTGTTTTTCTAGTGGGGAAGTATATGTTGTTTCTGACGTATATTAAAATTGACTGTACGTTATCTTATAGTCTGCTTGTGATGCTCTACCCTTCAGCTGTTTTGCAGGATATTACACATACAGATGTGCTGTGTAGGCCTGTACTTGGAGCATGCCATTTCTAACTTGCACAGCTGTCTTTAGATCACCCTTTATCCATAAGGTGTTATTCTCTGGCTGTCCCTGGACCGTTGCATTCATAAGAAGTGCTCAGAGAGGTGTTTTGTGACATGGTGACTGAAAGGCTAGCAGCTGTCATCATCATGCCTGTGTTAATATTGTCCCTCTTGTGCTTGGATACCATTGTGTCTGTATTCCAGGATTTTGGCTCCTGGTGACTTTTATATACAGCCATGGCTCCAGGGAGCAATCCCAGAGTCTCAGCAGTTGTGCCACTTCTAAAGCAGTAGTGAAGGGGACTTGCTAGTTTTTCCCCACTCAACCACTGTTTAGACTCTGGAGGAAATTATGACCCATTTATCCCCCTTCTTCCCTGCAGTTGGCTGCCCTGAAGGGCTCACAAGTCCTTCTTGGCCCTGCTCAGCCACCAGACATATCTATTAATTACTGTGTAGTTGTTTATGGTCTTCCTTTTTCCTTCTGCATTCTCCTGTACCTTTTGTCTTCTAGATGCCAGCACTCCCTTTTGTCTGCTTTCTTCAGTGCCCACTGTTGCCTTCCCTCTCCTTTTCCTCCATAGCTTTTTATTTTGAGGGATATTATGGTGCATTAGATGTAATTCCCAACAGACTTTACCTATGGGTTTTGTGTGAGGCATGTCTGAGAGTACCTTCAAGACATTTCTTTGAGCTCCCTTTTTTTGTCTGTTCTTGTGGTTTTCTGAAATAGTTCTTGAAGACAGAGGCAGTGTTGTTATAAAAGTCTGTGTAGCACTGGATTGTTAGGTGTCTCAGTCCTGAGATGTGCTTCTGAGTATTACAGCAGCAAAGTATATATGGAATACGTTCTGTAGAGTAGTGGAGTCAGTGCAGCCTACTTCTCAGAGAACTGTTACTTCAGATAAATTTTTTTGCATTGATTCCCTGTCACTTCAGTGTTTTTTTCCAGGAAAGGTCTCCCTCCTATAACCTAGCCATCTACCTACATAAAAATTGCAGAAATTTAATCTTTGAGACCTTTACCCATATGTCAGCCAATAAATCCTATTTCCTTTGGGAATGATAAGTACTTTTCTGTGGTTTTGGTGTTTTTTTTTTGTTTCCACCACCCCACACCCCCCCCAGCGGTAGTCCTGTATATGTTACTTTGTCTATAAATTGACAGTCTGAAAGATTTTTAGAGATAACTGACACTGGAAGCATATCTGCAACAGTGTGTTGCTCACTGCTACTTTCCTGCTTTTCAGCTACAAAGGCCTGGTGTGGAAGATGTGGCTGTCCTGAAAAAGGAGCTGGTTCAAGTTCAGACACTGATGGACAAAATGACACTGGAACGTGAGAGAGAATCTGAGAAGCTGAAAGATGAGTGCAAGCACTTGCAGGCGGAGCAGGCTAACTCAGAGGTGATAATCATACCTGAAGATGTGTGTTCTAGCTTTGCCATGATTTTCATACAAAATACAAAATATTAATTCATCATAATGAAAAAGCCTCTTTCTTAAGTGAGTCTTCTAACTTACCTAATGGACATGTTTCTTCATTACAGTAAATTGCATATTCTGTCAAATATTTACCCTCCAAAAGCCCCCATGCTTTTCATTTTGAAACCTTTTCTTGGTATAAAAGGTTTCTACAAGAGCCCAGTAGGAGACGAAAAAACCTTCTGGCAGAGCTGTGCTCTTTGTACTGGGAGAGACAAATAGTGCAGTACCTGTGTGATTCAAACACTTTTTTTCTCTTACTGAGCTACACGCTGATAAAGACGTTACTGAAAATGATGATTTTGGATAATGTTTGAGTTGATGTGCCTGAAAATGGATCCTAGAGTGTTAAAAATACATAAAAAGAAGTGATCAGTTCAAGGTAGGAATAATTTCAATATTCTTATAGGATGTATATAATTCTTGAATTTATACAAGATTTAAAAATCTCAGTGGATATTGTAAACTGGTTTTCATTTTTGTTCTTTCTAGTTTTTACTGTCACATGAGAGGGCTTTTTACACCTATTATTTACTGTAGGAATAGTTTGTGTGTAAGGTACAAATCTGTTCTGTACACATACCCTCCCCAGTCAACTGCATAACGGCCTCCAAGCGTTGCCTGTTACCAATTGGAGCAGACAGTGAATGACTGCCAGGCCTCACCCTGTCATAAGGTCAAGATGTCAGGTTGTCACCTGTACTCTGTTTTCAGGCATCACCACCTTAGTTTTCCTCTCTTTGTTGCTGAAGTCTGAAGTATAAAATAAAATCTATTGTTCTCATGTTAGGTTTTTTTATCAATTTACATTTTTTTCCTCCATATTTTCACTTTTTACATTTCCTCTGTTGCTGAAGTCTAAAGTATAAAGTAAAATCTATTGTTCTCATGTTATTTTTTTTTATCAATTCACTTTTGTTTTTCCCTCCATATTTTCCTACATATTTTTAACTTTTAAAATTAATCTCATTTAAGAGGAACCTCACTGTCTACTTGAGTTTCAGAATATGCTGGTTTCTTCAGAAGTACTTTGTGAAGGCTTACCCAGCTTTGGCTCAATCAGTGGAAGTTTTAGATTGCTGATGGGAGTTTTGAAAATATTTGTCCTTTTTTGCTCTTGCATGTAGAGTTGATAATAACTTTGTATTTAAGGAAGCAAAGCTAATTGCCTCTCCCACAGCAAATACTCAGTTTTCTTGGTTTTGAATCGTCTGGTTTTCCATCAGTGAACACTTAGCTTTTGTACAAGAGGGAGGAAAAGGGATGTAACAGCTCTGACTTGGATCTTTAAGAAGGAACCTTACTTCTCAAAATGTCTCAGATCATTCCTGACTAAAGCCTGTTTGATGTTGTTTACCATGACAGTGAGGGAAATCTCCGACAGAGATAATGGCAAGAAATCCTGATAAAAATGCAGTATGACCAAAAAGGCTTTTGTCTAACATAAGATTTATTCTACTGAGGAGTTGGTAAATCCATACCTGCAGAAGAATTCTCTTGCTTGGATGTTGCATCTCACTGGTTGATTGATTGGTATAGTTGTACTGATAGGTGACCTAACAGTGTAATAACAGTCTTCACTGAAGACTGTCAGCTGTGTTTGAGACCTTTTAATTTTGCCCTTCCCCTTTTCTGTTGTCCCCCACCAATGCAGCAGTGCCAGCAAAACTTGTCAACACAAAGCTGTTGACGAATTCCCCACCTTATGTGAGTGAATGCCTAGGGTTTTTGTAGGACTCCTAGTATCCTCTGTCCTGTTGAGATTCATGAATGTCAAGGTTTTCTGATATATTTTTATTCTGGCGTTTCATGTGCCCTAAATTGCAGAACTGCAGTTTTAACTTTCTATTTCTTTGCGCTGCAGAGCTGTAAGTGCTGCCTGGCATTATCCTAAACTCCTTAGGGCTTTCCCTCCTGCCTCCCCACACTCCAACAGATATACTGAGCTCCAGAAATTTTACAAGGGTACAGTATTTTACTAAGCATGAATCTACCATTGTTTTCAAGTTAAAATTATGTATGTCAAGACCTTCATCAGATGTGAAAAAAGTAATATCACTGTTGGAGTTATGAATATAATGTGGTTATGTGACCATGTAATGTGCTGCATAATTGTAATTTGGTTTTAACTGTGAGATCACACAATTATGCTGCAGGATTTAAATTTAATTTCAAAATATTGTCTCTGTAGTCTTCTGTGGTTTTGGATATTTAGTTTTCATGTGAAGATAAAATGACATAGTGACATGGGTGTAATAAAAATCTTTCATCTTAAAACATTCTCACAGAAGCATGAATTTCCCCTGTTCCCTCTAATTGGGTATGTTAAAATTTTGACATAACTAGCCATTTTAAAATGTAGCTTTAGGCTTCAGCCTTTAACAAGAAAAAAAGAAAAGTGAGGAAGGTTTTGGTTTTTTTTTTTTTTCAGTCCTCCTGGCAGTATTGGTAGATCATGTAGAAGGCTGCATGATACCCCTAGCTGTTATGATGTGTTCATATAAGAAGTCTTAGATGTATGGAAGGATTATAAGCTACACTACAGCAATTGTAATAATATCAGATGTCTGTGTAGTATCGTCAGTATGTAGGCTGAACCAGAGAAGACTGAGTTGCTGCATGGCAGAATGTGGTAAACAGTGACAGTCTGGTTCTTCTTGGAAGTGTTACTGTCTTCTCTGTTTAATTCCAACATACGGCAACAATAAACCAAGACATGTTAAAAATAAAAGCTTTTCTGTTGATGTAAAGTGACAGATCAAACTTTTAAAAAAATAAAAATTACTCAGAGTTGTAGCAGTGAAAACATTTCTACTTTTGTTAAAAAGTCACAGTTGTGAAAAGTGTTAGCCGTAAGAAAACAAGAAATAGAAGTCCTTCATTGGCATAATGGGAACAATTCTGTCCATAAGAGTTTGGCCATGTTTCATCTCAGCTCTGCTCTTTAGGGCCATTGCAAGGGCTGAAAGTGTAAAGTGGTTCTTACACAATCCTTGGCTATTTTGCCAAGCTGACTGGGACTATGTATATTAATATTGGTTTCCAAAATGACATATCTATAAAATAAGTTAAATTTATGGTGTGGATGAAGAGAATAACAAAGATCATCTTAACCCTGTATGAGCATCTTTGAATGCTGCGGGAGAGGGATGTGAAGAACAGTATAGCTCTACAGTTGTTGCCTAAATGTGTGCATTGCTGTCCTTTCTTTTTTGTTTGCTTGTTGAGTGTTTATGCCTTATTTTAGAGTTGTACCTGAAACTGTGGTGTCTAAATCTCTCAGATGAATGTTTAGTTTTTAGCTATAGTGACTCTTGCATAGTAAACACAGTATGAAAACAGCTAAACTCATTATTTGTTTGAACTTCGGCAGATTGGGATTTGTTTCACTATCTGATAAATCTTCATAAAATACCAGGCCTAGGCTTGATTGTTAATTTGAGTGCCCACAGAATTAAACGAAATTAGTAGATTAAATTATGGGTACATTTAATAAAGCTAGGCCTGTTTCTTTTTCCACTGATCAAAGACATTAAAACCACCAGAATATTTGCAAACAAATTTGAGGAAGTGTGTCTGCTAACAGTTTTTGTGACTGCTTATTTCCATTTTTCATCCATCCATTTTATTTTTTTCTGCTTTCTAATGGAGACTCTTAAATTTGAGGTAAATTTTTTTTGAAAGCTTTTTATTCTTAGAGTAGATTTCTGTTGTATCAAGATAATTTCAAGAGGTGGTTAAACATATAGATTGCTGTTTGCTTATTGGTTCATTAGCCATACAGACACATCAGCCAGACAATATCATGAATTAATATTCATCCATGATATACTTCCATGTTAAGAATGAAATGTAGGATGGGCTTACTGAATTGTGAATGAGAGAAATGTATCTTTATGCATATAAATTAGAATTCTAGTTTGGAAGGCTGCAGTGGTGTCCTTAGCAAGCTTCTGCATGTTTTCTGCATTATATTTTCTCAGTAGTGAAATATCCATACTGTGTTTTCTGAGAACATCCTGGAATGTTTGTCTGCCAAAGACAGGTCCCAGGTTCTGTTTTAGATAACAACTCTGTAGTGAAACAGCCTTGTAAAGCACAGTGTTACGGAAAATCAGAATTATTAACTATATGTAGTCATATAATGTGTTCGTATGTTCTCCTTGGTCTTCTTTTTTCTGCAGGAAGGTTGTAAATAGTATGTTTATTGTCTCTACTTCTGTTCTCCTTTAGTTCATTCTTGAATTCATTATTTATATGTTTGTGCTGAAATCTGTGGTCATCAGAACAATAGGAAAGAAAACTTCTTTAAAAAGGTCACTATTACATAATGTATTCAAAGTGAGTGCATTCATATGCAGCATGCTTTAGAGCAGCCATTGTTACCCATCTAAAGTGCTTTTCTTGTTTCCTTTCATTACTGTATTGAAATACTGTGCAATCAGTGATATATTTTGGTTTTACCCATCCTGTTTAATGGGGTAGTATCGTTCCCCTGATTATGCTGACCTGAAGGGTTGATGTGTCCAAAAGTCACACACCAAATTTGCGTCAGATGCCAGACTCACTTTTAGTACCTTTTCCAGTGCATTTTTCTTAACAGGGAGATGAAGATTTTGGCCATTGTAAACTGCTGTGACTGGGGAGGGTTTCACCTTGAGGGTTTCAACTGTGATAATGATTAATGGATAATCTGCTGTGATTTTCATTGGTTGTGCACTCAACCTGGCATTTTCTATTGGACTGTGGCCAATTTTTGTCTTCTGAAGTAGAACGTGAATTAATCTCAGCTTGGAAATTATACTCAGTGGTACTTCTGTGGCTCATGGTGCTCTGAGGTTAGTTTGCAGGTGATTTTCTTCTTAAGCTGTTTATTTGTATATAAGATACTTTTATTTTGCTACCAGACATTTTGCTTTTGTTGGGTTACGCATGCAAAGCTTTGTTTTAAATGTGAACTTTTCTGTTTGTCTGTTCAGGCTACCATTAGCCAGTTAAGAGCTGAACTTGCCAAAGGACCTCAGGAGGTAGCTGTGTATGTTCAGGAGCTGCAGAAACTTCAAATTTCAGTTAAAGAGCTAGAACAGAAAAAACAGGTGAGAATGCTGTTATATCCTTTGCTTGCCAGCTGACATGAAAATGGAAACATATCTTGTAATGCCTTGGGAAGCACTGAGGACTGTAACAAGACACTTCTTGGTGTTGCAGAAGTTGAGAATTCCTTTGCCATTTTGCTTAACTCAAGGGATATTGTAATGTACAGACGCTATATTGTAACAGTCATGATGAATATGTTACAACTGAAATTCTCAGGGTTGTTATGATTGCAGATTTCTAGTTGCTGCAGCTTATGCTTACCTATTATTGGACAGTATTGCCATCTCACACGTTAAAAGTATTACTCTTTGAAATATTACGTTTGCCTAAAAATTGTAATTCTGAAGACCTTTTGAGCTTTCTTCATTGGTTTTACTGTTTCTTAGTTTGGGGATTGTACTCCTGTCATATTTTCTCGCTGTTTATCAGAGTCATGAATGGTAGAAAACAGAAATAAACTCCAGAAGTTTTTTCAGCTTATCAAATGTTCCTTGAGAGCTTTTATCAAAGCCCTTTTTGCTTCCTGTGTTTTGTATTTGCATTAAGAAAGCATGTGTTGTGGGGTAATAAATGGAGGTAAGGGAGGAAATAAGACAAGGAGAAAGATGCATGCTGCTTTCTGTTGCGTGTATACATAACACCATATATGAACTCTACACATTATATATGTGTATTTACCAGCAACGTTGTCAACCTTGAAAATGGAAAGGATAGAGACTAAACAGTGTGTATTTAATGTAGTCAATATTGGGATAAGAGATGTTTAACATTTTTGTCAGCAACATGGACAGTAGGATTGAGTGCACCCTCAGCAAGTTCACTGACAACACCAAGCTGTGTGGTGCAGCTGACACGCAAGAGGGAAGGGATGGGCCATCCAGAGGGACCTGGACAGGCTTGAGAGACAGGCCCATGCAAACCTCATGAAGTTCAGCAAGGCTAAGTGCAAGGTCCTGTGTGTGGGTTGGGCAATCCCAAGTACAAATACAGGCTGGGAGGTGAGTGGATTGAGAGCAGCCCTGTGGAGAAGGACTTGGGGGTGTTGGTTGATAAGAAGCTCAATGTGACCTGATGATATGCACTCACAGTCCAGAAAGCCAGCTGTATCTAAAGCAGTGTGATCAGGAGGTCGAGGGAGGTGATTCTGCCCCTCTACTCCACTCTGATGAGTACCAGGAGTACTGCATTCAGCTCTGGGGCCCCCAACATAAGAAGGACATGGACCTGTTGGATTGAGTCCAGAGGAGGGCCATAAAGATGATCAGGGGGCTGGAGCACCTCCCCTGTGAGGATAGGCTGAGAGAGTTGAGCTTGTTCAGCCTAGAGAAGAGAAGGCTCTGGGGAGATGTTATAGCAACCTTCCAGTACCTAAATAGTGCGTAGAGGAAAGCTGGAGAGGGACTTTTTACATAGGTATGTAGTAATAGGACAAGGGGTAATGGCTTTAAACTGAAAGAAGATAGATTTAAATTAGGTATTTGGAAGACATTATTCACTAAGAGGGTGGTGAGACATAGGAACAGGTTGCCCAGAGAAGTTGTAGATGCCCCTTCCTGGGGTGTTCAAGGCCACGTTGGACGGGGCTTTGAGCAACCTGATCTAGTGGAAGGTGTCCCTGCCCATGGCAGGGGGGTTGGAACTAGATGATTTTTAAGGTCCCTTCGAACCCACACCATTTTGTGATGGTAATCGGATATTAAAGCAGCATTTGCAAAGATTATAAGAAGGTGCAAATAAAATTTGGTAAATTAACCTTGCCTTTAGTAGGATGACACTTGGTTTGCTCATTAAATAAGGTGCAGAACTGAGATGGTGAGAATTGTCATGCTGTGCTTTTCCACAGACCAGCAACACTGAATCAAGCTTTTGCCAGAAGTACTGCTATACAGTGTAGAGACCTTGCCTGAATATATTGCTGTTCGATTAACAACGTGAAGTGAATATCAATGCACGCAGCATGAGCAACAGACAGGGGCAGCTTGAAGCCATGATGCAGCATGGGAACTGTGAAATAGTAGCTATGACAGAAATGTGGTGGGATGCCTCACATGACTGGAGTGCTGCAGTCAATGGCTACAAGCTCTTCAGGAGGGATAGGCAGGGAAGGAGAGGTGGTGGAGTGGCTGTATATGTAAGAGAACGCTATGACAGCTCAGAAATCAAGTATAGTGATAACCAGGTTGAGAGTATGTGGATTAGGTTAAGGGCCAATAAAGCAGATCTTGCTGTGGGAGTCTGCTGTAGACCCCCCAACCAAAGCGGTGAGGTGGATGAAGCTTTCTATAAACAGTTGGGAGAAATTTCGCGGTCACTTGCCGTTGTTGTTGTGGGGGACTTTAATCTCCCGGGTATCTGCTGGGATCACAGCACAGAAGAGAGGGAGCAATCCAGGAGGTTCCTGGAATGTGTGGAGGATGACTTCCTCACACAGCTGGTGAGTGAGCCGACCAGGGAAGGTGCCCCCATGGACCTGCTGCTTGTGAACTGGGAAGAGCTTGTTGGGGAGGTAAAGTTTGGAGGCCATCTAGGGTGCAGTGATCATGAGATAATTGAGTTTTGATCCTTGGAGAAACAAAGAGAGGGATTAGTAAAACTGCCACCTTAGACTTCTGGAGGGCAACCTTTGACCTGTTCAAAAGACTGATGAACAAAATCCCTTGGGAGGCTGCCTTGAAGGAGATGGGAGTCCAAGAAGGCTGGACATACTTCAGGAGAGAAGCCTTAAAGGCACAGGAGCAGGCTGTTCCCGTGTGCCAAAAAACAAGCAGACAGGGAAGGAGACTGGCCTGGCTAAACATGGACCTTTGGCTGGATGTCAAGAACGAAAGGAGAATCTATTGCCTTTGGAAGAGGGGGCAGTGTCTTATGAAGACTATAAAGATGTAATGAAGTTATGCAGGGAGAACATTAGGAGGGCCAAAGCGCAGCTAGAGCTGAAGGATAACAAAATGTTTCTGTAAGGATAATAAAAAATGTTTCTATAAATTGGTTAACAGCAAAAGGAGGATTAGGGAAATTCTCCATCCTTTACTGGATGCAGCGGGAAACATGGTAACTAAGGCTGAGGAAAAGGCTGAGGTGCTCAATGCCTGCTTTGCCTCAGTCTTCAGCAGTGGAACTGGCTGTTCCCTGGACACCCAGCATCATGAGCTGGGAGATGGGGAGGGGAAGCAGATTGAGGTCAGCACAGTTGAAGAGGAGATGGTCAGAGACCTGCTACACCACTTGGATGCACAATAGTCTGTGGGACCGGATGGGTTACACCCAAGGGTGCTGAGGGAGTTGGCAGATGTACTCGCCAAGCCACTGTCCATGATTTACCTGAAGTCATGGCTAACTGGGGAGGTCCCATTGGACTGGAGGGTGGCAAATGTGACACAGATCTACAAGAGAGGAAGAAAGGAGGATCCAGGAAACTATAGACCTGTCAGTCTGACCTCGGTGCCAGGGAAGGTCATGGAGCAGGTCATCTCGGGTGCCATTAAAAGTCGTATAATGGAGAACCAGGGGATCAGGCCTAGTCAGCATGGGTTTATTAAAGGCAGGTCCTGCCTGACAAACCTGATCTCCTTCTACAACAAGGCGACCTGCTTATTGGAAGAGGGAAAGGCTGTGGATGTAGTTTACCTTGACTTTAGCAAGGCGTTTGACACCATTTCTCACAGCATTCTCCTGGTGAAACTGACTGCTCGAGGCTTGGTCAAAGGCACACGCTTTGCTGGGTGAAAAACTGGCTGGATGGCCGGGCCCAAAGAGTTGTGGTGAACGGAGTTAAATCCAGTTGGTGGCCGGTCACGAGTGGTTATGAAGTAGCAGTAAGATTATCTTGCCCGGCTATGATGAAAAAGGTTCTGTGGTCTGTTGGTATTTCAGGAACACTATTCAGTATGAATTAAATGATCCTTCCTGGTCATTTCTCTTTAATGGGAAAGTAATTGCAACTTCGTTTTGTATTCTGAGGGCTAAATGTATTCTAAAAGCAGTGGGAGCCTTGCCACTAACTTCAGGAGGGTGAAGATGGCAGCTGGCCTCAGTATGGTCTTTATGTGGTTTATTTCTGATTTTGTATTTGCGTATATAAAAAATTCTGCATACCTATAACAGCAGCAAATTGTTTTATTTTTTCAAGAAGCATTTCAAAATACACTACTTCAGAGCTAGAATTCAATAGCAAAACTTAAGTCTTGAGCCAGAACTTTTGGCTCAGTTGTATGCTTTAGAAAGTATGTATTTTTTTAAATGGACACGTAGGGCATTAATTATATTGGTTTTTGGAGTGCTAGAGTTGTCATTTGCAAGATTGCTTGTTTTCTAACCTCTCTTTTTTTAATAGATTTCTTCTGTTTATTTTATTGCAATTGTAAAATAGAAGTGTCTGTATATGGTTTATAAGGACCAATACAATTTGTTAAAATCTGTAAAGAACAAAAGTGTTCAACTGTTCAACTTATTGGAATAATTTTACAGCTTTATCGTCTGGCAAACAGATTTCATCCCTGGATAGTGTGCAGAAGTGAGCTTTTAAGATGCTCAGCATAAATAGAATTGCAGCACTATCTTAACTTTGGAACAGTATTATTTCAAAGTTGCAGAATTATCTGAAGTTTTGATACATAAGAATGACCTCAGTGTTAGCATTTTTTCAGGCTGACATGCTAGAAGTGTTCTTAATTTTTCTGTATTTTAATTGAAAGGGTCACTAGAGAATATAATAGTCACTGAAACTGCGGGAAGAACACAAGCATTTAAAAGGTATACATAGTAGTGCTCCACTGAGATAGGTATCAGTAAGATGCTGCCATAAATGGAACCTGCTGGTACATTTCAAGAAGATGGAATGAATTACCTGGGTTGGATGATGATCAGAGCCTCCTTGCAACTGCATTTCTGTACTTCAAAAAGTGCCACTGAAAAATTGAAATGGTTCTCATGGTTTCTTTGTCCTGCTTGGAGATCTCTGAAATTCGAGTTAGTGCCTCAGCTAAGCCTGGGCAAACCCCAGACTTTCTGAAATTATATCCTGTCTATTAAGATATTTAATTTCTATCTGAATATAGTTTTGATTAGTTTGTGAAATTTGATAAAAACCAATATTTAATAGCTGAAAATTATCTATAAATACTTTTTTTCCCCCCCAGTATTTGTCTTGGTGTGTGAATCAGATAGTATGACTCAGCAATATTTACTGTTGTTCATGTGGTAATTAAAATCTGATGCTCAGCGATGTTCATGTGTTTCCTTTAGGGAATCACAGTTTTTAGTGTTTTCAGACTCCAAGCAGCCATCCTCTTTGAGCTGATTTATATGCATGGAAATTAGATGGTATGAACTAAAATGTAAAAATATCCTCTTCTAAAATGAAGGTTAAATCACGAGTGTTTCAGTCTGTGATTTATCAACATCACAGACTTTATTAGTTTTCACAGGTCCTCTTCCATAATTTGGATATTAGATCATTCTGTAAAGTATAGTGACAGGGCAAAATTAGGATACTTCTAAAACTGACCAGCATGATGACTGCACAGGATTAGACCTGAATTAAACCACAGAAGTTGCTTAGGGAATCATGTGAAGGACAGCAATACTTGAAAATGTTTTCTGTATACTAACTCAGATTACTATTTCAGCTTTTCCCCAAGCAAATGCAGTTGTAATAACCTAGAATTTGAATGTTCAGGGAAGACAAATTAGTCTTCAGGATACAGAAATAGAGATTGTGTGGTGTTCTCAGAGGAAGTGGATTTATGTGAGAATATGAAAAAGCATTTCCAGTTGAAACTGTGTGCTGTATGGGCTCCAGAATTAACTTGTGTCATATGAAATAGAGGTCAGTATTTTTTTTTAATAATGTTTTGGAGCAAGTTCTTCACTGTTCAGCATCAACACTTGAGAAGAAATCTGAATAATGCATTGCACAGCTGTAAGCAGAATTGCACTTGAATTGCTGTGTAACTCTCTTCATAGAGTCTGACTGAGAAGCTGCTGAAGAAAGAACAGGACTACACCCAGCTAGAAGAAAAACACAATGAAGTATCTGTGAGTAAGAAGAATGTGCAGGCAAGCTACCATCAGAAAGAACTGGACTGCCAGCAGCTTCAGGCAAAGTTGTCTGCATCTGAAGCCTCGATACAGAGATTACAGACAGAGCTAGGTGAGAAGGGGGAAGCAAGCCAAAAACTTAAAGAAGAGCTGTCTGAAGTAGAGACGAAGTACCAGCATCTCAAGGCGGAATGTAAACAGCTCCAGCAGCAGAAGGAGGAAAAAGAGCAGCATGGCCTGCAACTCCAAAGTGAGCTGAGTCAGGTAAGGTTCCTTAAGCCTCCTAGACCATCCTATTGGGATGGTTCCTTAAACCATCCCATTAGCATTTTTTAAACTGTGCATGCATTTTTTTCATTCACATACATTTGCATTTCCTTATTGAAGGGGAGTAACTAACCAGTACTTATATTTGAATAAATATAAAGCTAGCTGGTATCTGAATAAATATATTCTTCCTAACACTGCAGAGAATGAAAGACAATCACCTTTACCCCTTAAAGAAGTAAAGAACAGCTAAAAAAAAGCGGCTGTGATAAGAGTGCAGAAATTCTTCGTTATTTGTTTCTTGTTATGTTTCAATCTTTTTAGTAGGTCTGAACTCTTGTCAGGAGCAAATGAGGATAGTTGTAGCCCCTGTTTTACAGTCAAACTCAGCAAGATCTACAGTTACAAACACCTTTCCACATTTTTGTTTCTGGGAGGACTAATGTAATATCTGTCTATCTATAGTATAATTCCCCTTTTTCTGAAAGGGAAACATCTTACTAATTCTGTTCTATCTGGAACTCTTCTTAAAACTGTCTTTATAATTTCAGCTTTGAAGATTAAAGTTGAATGAGCATAAACTTTGTATGTTATTTCTCATGTTCTGATTTGACTTTTGTGTATGTGAATAAAAAAAGGCTTTAGCTGATATGAGACAGGTTTTTTTTGTCCACTTTTTTTCTCTTACACAGTTAAATGAACTCTTTTTCATCCCACAGTTTTTCCCGTCCACGTTTTTTGTTGATACATTCCCTGAAATAAGAGTATTGTCAAATGAGAGGCCAATGCAGAATATTGATTTTCCATGACAAATATGGTAATAGACAAATCCTAAGAAGTCAGCAAGGTTAATTATTCTGGTTCAGTAAGGTAGATGAAGCTATAATGAATTCTGGTGATGAGAAAACCAAATTCAGGTAGAGTATCAGAAGTAGTTTCACTTTCAGTAGTAATTTTACTACTCTATAGGAAGTTTGAGAAAAGTGAGTGTTTTGCATTAGAACTGAACAGTGCTTGATTTGCTTTAAAATTGAACAATGAATACAGTAGGGAATGCTTAGTATGAAAAGTAGGGATAATGTGAAGTCTTAATATTGCTTCCTCTGTGTCTCTCCACAAACACCTTCTCTTTCTGTTGCTGATACCTCTGAAAATACAGAGCATATGTCCCCCCGCCATATATGTATTGTTCTGCTGAGTCCAATGAGTTATGAAAGCAGGACTTTCATATACGTGGGGTATGCTGAAATTTGAGGCTGGTTGAACTCTGTTTTATCTGGTGTCTTGGGGAGTAATGTGTTAGAACGGAGAAATATTTGTGCATCAGGAATTGTGTCCAGTCCTAAGATGGAAAAAATAATCTGTTTTTTCTGTTAGTATGACATATTTCATTTTAATCTTTCACCAACGCTTTATCATTTTAAAGTGAGTGTTTCTCAGTTTTCAACCTTTTGTCAAGTCTGAAATAGATTAAGTTACAAGCTGTGCATGTATAGTTTATCTTGGAAGAACTGTGGCTTGGCAAAACTTTATCTATGTATTACATCCTCAGAATGATTTTCCTTCTCCCATCAGTCTCCTCCTGGGGCAGGAGGAGGAAATTATATTCGTTATCTGCTTAGGAATTCTCACTTGGTAAAACTGCCTCAGTCTGCCTAGTCAACACATATGCAAGCTTCAGAGGCACATCCAAGATGTTGAGCTGAAATACAGCTTTAGCCTGAGAGGGCATTTTCAGGAAGGACTTTTGGGGTGGGAAAATGAAGGCAGAGGAAGGTGAATAATGCATTGCGGAAGGGATTCCTGTGAAAGGAAATGGAGACATCGCACATTGTCAGGTAATACCGTTGGGAAGGAAGACAGTCTAAGCAAGAAAATCTCAACAAGCTCCTGGATCTCAGGATGTGTTTTAGAACTGTATTGTAAAAGAATAGTGGAGGGAAAAAAACCCTTCATACATGGTATAAAATAAAACTAAAGCCAAGCAAAAACTTCTCTCTCTCCTTCCAAAGAAGAGTTCAGTTACTGTTGTAATGAAAAGACTAAATTCCTTGTATTTGTTCACTTAATACTTTAATGGAGTTATGTTTTTATGCATGTAGTCCAATAGCTTATGCTGACACAATGAATGCTGCTCATGAAGGTGTATATGTATAGTTGTTTAGTCAAACCACACTTTTAAAGTATCCTTGCCATCTTCTCAAAATTCTTTTGAACAGATGTATGTCTGGTTAAGTTTGTATATTTTAGAATTTGGGTGAAGGAAGTGATCTTCACAATGGAAAGAAACCTCAATGATAACTGTTTCAGCACAGCAATAGGAAGAGGGTAGCACAAGAAAATATGGACTCCTTCAGTCTTGAAGAAATGTTAATTGCTAATAAATATTGTTGTTGAGAACATTTGAATCTCCTTGATTGTATCTTTGAAAGTCTAAATATTTTTTATGACTTTTGTATTCTGTAACATAGGTTAATCCTGGATTTTGTGGTTCTGTTTACTTAAAGTCAGCCTTAAACCTCTTCAAAAATACTTCATTGTGCCTGTAATAAAAGGGACTTTTGTGAAATGTTTACTGATTTCCCCTTTTCCAGATATGCTCTCCCAGTATCAACATAGCTGTGAATAGTTATGTTGTTGCACCCTTTCTTCATTAGACTGTTTTCCTCTAGCTCTTATTCTTATTTTCAGTGAGGAGAAGTATTAATAATTAAGTGATTCCTGTGGAAAAAGATAAATGTTCTTGATTACTGGAGGAGATATTATGATCTCTTTCTTCACCCTGTCCTCTGTCTTTTCCTATCTGTCTCTTAACTGTGCAGTCAGTTAGAAATCAGCACAGTTAGAAATCAGCATCTTGGTCACGTGCTGAACAGCTTTTCCTTCACAGTTTTTGTGGTTATGGACATAAATAATTTAGCTTGTTTTCCTAAGAAAATAAGACATAGCACATTTCTTTTCCTGTCTCCATTCCCTGTAACTTTTGCGTTGTTTGTTAACTTCAGCCAAATTGGCCAAAAGGTCTCCAGTGTTTAAATTCTTGTGGAAGCAGGCAGCTGGGTGGAGGAGACAGACTTACATTCATGCCTCACCTCCTCATTGCCTGGGGGAAAGATCTAACATTATCAAAACCACTGTTCCTTTTTCTGTTCTGCTAGGTGGCCAGATGGTCAACAAGTGGTAGCTTGCAGTGAGAAACAAGATTGTGCTGCCTTTTGCCTTGCTGTTAGTAGGGGTTTGAGGAAAGTGTGAAAAAGGTTTAGGGATATTGAAGGGAAGACCTGGAGTTAAAAGGTGAATGGTTCAAGGGTCTTGGACATCATTTCATAGGGATGCAAGCTTCATTCGTCGTGATACCTGTAGAAAGCTCTTGCTGTTGTGTAAGGCCTGAGCCATTTTCTGTTTTTTTCATTGAGCTGAAAGTTCACTTGTGTATCCATGAATATGTTCATGTAGAAGTAGGCAGGAGGTAACCCAGAACCTATAGTGATATTTTCCAATAGGAGAACAGCTGATTTTCTGGAGAGAGCTTTTTATAACAGTGAATAGTAAAAGGACATCCTTGCACCTTGAAGATGGTGCAGTACTGCTTTTGATGGCTGAAAAAAATGATGAGGCAGGCTTATGTCCAGCTGGAAGAGTGCATCCCCCTTAGTTACTCTGCTGCTGGGTGGTGCTGGACTATAAGCCACCAAAGTTACTGCCGTACCGTACGTTGAACTTTCATGTATCTCTTCTCTGCAAAAAATGAATGCCACTGATGTAGCCAGGTCAAGCTAATAATTATGCCCTTCCTAGTCTAGCAATGCAGAACTCTATATTGTGGGAGCCAGTGGAGCAGGTAAAGGCATGGTGCTTCAGCCACTGGATCTACAGGAGGGAGGATATATGCTGTGCAAGATGAAGTTGCTCTAAGCATCACTATTTTGTATGATTTTCTTTGAATATTTGTTTATGCTCGTGCAGCTGATGCTGTTCTTTAGCATGATTTGTGTTTCTGAGGTGTATGATGTACATACATGACTTCAGGAGTTCATGTAGTTATTTTAATTTCAGTTATGAAAATTTGGGATAAACATTGCACAAAGTGAGTCTGAAATACAGTGCTGTTGACTAAAGAATGTCTAAAAAAATAGATGACCTTTTTTTTGCAGTTGCACGGCAAACTTCTAGAAACAGAGCGGCAGCTAGGGGAAGCACATGGGCGGCTCAAGGAGCAAAGGCAGCTGTCTAGTGAGAAGCTGATGGACAAAGAGCAGCAGGTGGCTGATCTGCAGTTAAAACTTTCTCGTGCTGAAGAGCAGGTATGAAAACTCTAGTTCTGGTTCTGATAGTAGCCTGTGTAACCACTTGTGGTGATGTTGCAGTTCATAAAGTTTGTCCTTATGGGAATTTCATTTGACTAATACTGTTTAAAGTCATGATAAAATTGTCAAAACCTGCCTAGATGCCACTAGCATTACAAATTTTTTGTAAAGCTAAGTGCTCATTGGATGCATATATATTCATGGTACTTTACAGATGGGCAAAAGATGGGCATTTTGCACTTACGAGCTTTGTCTAAGGATCTTACGAAAAAAAAAAAAAGACTTTAGGTGCACCTAAGCCCATATGAATAAAGTTTTGTGTGTAGATATTTTTGTGAGATAAATCCCTATGTGAAGAAAAAGTGAACATGGCATAGCAGGTCACTGATAATTAATAACTTTATGGGGTGGATGGGCAGAAAACACTTGCTTTATTAATTTTTATTTGTTTTAATGAGCATCTTGTACATGTTGCTGATTTTCTGCTGCCTGTAGCGGGATTGGTCAAATACCTGAGTGGTACGTTGTCAAAGCTTTAAAGCTTTTCTGTAGCTAATTTGCAATGCCTTGACCAGTATAGAAGTGGAGAGACTGCTAAACTGAAGTTGCTACTAAAAATGCTAATAGTAGTGATAATAATGTTGGTTTACAGGTTATCTGCATTATCAGTCATGTTACATCTTAACAACTGTTGGAAAAAATGTACTAAAAATCTCTTGTGTTTTAGAATTTTCAGACCTAAAATACATATGTCTGATACTGGTTTTATAGATCTTGCTTGTGATATAGAATCTTACCTATTAATAGTTACGAATGCTTTGGTTAGATTTTGATTCTTTAACTAGCATTACACACTTTTATTTTTATATCAGTTTTCAAATATTCATGTTTAGACTAAAATCTTTTAGCATTAGAATGAACATGGAGCACTGTTGGCATACTGAGTGGTGCTTGTTTACTCAATTAGTCTGGTTTGTTTGTTGGTTTTGGTTTTTTTTCAGCTAAAGGAAAAAGCAGCAAATTCCACAGAATTGCAACATCAATTAGATAAGGCAAAACAGCAGCACCAGGAACAGCAGACACTTCAGCAAAATACTACAGCAAAACTACGAGAAGCCCAGGTAACACAGTTATATATCCTCATGTGAATTTGTATTTCAGGTTTTCATTGTTTTAAATGTTTTCTCTGTAAAAGTGACTTACATGACTTACACTAGTTTCCAGAAATTAACTTGTAAATCTAGAACATAACATACAAAAAGTGTTTAATAAATTTATCCAACATTTTATGCATTAGGAGTAACTTCTAAGGTCCTTATAATTAAGGAAGCTATTATGCGATTTTCTAGAATGATTTGGAGCAAGTACTACGACAAATTGGAGATAAGGACCAAAAAATTCAAAATCTTGAGGCTTTGCTTCAAAAAAGCAAGGAAAACATTTCTCTGCTAGAAAAGGAAAGAGAGGATTTATATGCAAAAATTCAAGCTGGGGAAGGAGAAACTGCAGTACTTAACCAGCTACAAGAGAAAAACCATGCACTGCAAATACAGGTAAGAACTCGGAGAGTTGTTTCTTTTCTTTCATTCTCATTATTGAATCTTGTTTCCTTTTTTCCCTATCTCATCAGATATGACACTAATCTTTTTGTATTTTGCTGTTTCTTTGATACTTACTTTAAATTTCACAGGACTTGTATTTTGGTGACTTCCTTGCTATCAGCATAAAAGAAGGAGTTCCTAGATAGTTCCTATGTACATATGCTAGTAATATGTGCTTACAAATAATTTTTGAATACATATACATGTTTGTTTCTCTTATTTTAAAAAGAGGTTTAATTCCTGCTTTCAACACCAAAATTTTTAACCTGCATCTGCTGTCTCCTTAGTATTTTGTTTTTGTTACAGTAAGGCCAAATTGACGATTCCCTTTTGCTTCCATTTTCAACTGGCAACCTATTTTAACTCTGGTATTGCGTACAATATAGCTTTACTGTAATAGTTCAGAAAAAGAAATGTGATACTGTTGAGTCTCCAGAGCCACAAGACGACACACTGAAATTCAAAAGATTTATGACTTCCTTGGACATGCTGTTCCAGCCTTCGCTTCTACTTGCCTCTTTTTTTTCACTGCAGGTAACTCAGCTGACAGAGAAGCTGAAGAATCAATCAGAAAGTCATAAACAAGCCCAAGAGAATTTGCATGAGCAAGTGCAGGAGCAAAAGGCACATCTAAGAGCTGCTCAAGACCGTGTTCTTTCTCTGGAAGCAAACGTCACTGAACTAACCAGCCAGCTAAATGAAAGCAAAGAAAAAGTATCGCAACTTGATGTACAGGTAGTGTACTGTCTGGCGATGATAAATCCTGCTTGTGATTTCTGTATTCTCTCCAGAGAAAGTACAAAGCAGTTTGGGAAAAACTGCATGTTTCTACTAACAGATGAATGAAGTAGAATAAGGCAGATAAAATTGAGGAAAATGTAGGTGGATTCAGAATAGCAATGGATGACAAGTGTGTGGGGGTTTTTTGTTGTGGATTTTTTAGTCTATATTGTTTTATTGTGGTTTTTTGTTTGGGTTTTTTTTTAATTAAAAAAACTCAAAGTTCATAATTGAGCTGGAAAAATCTGTCCTCAAGCACCTCTTGTTGTATTTGTAATGATTAGCTATCCAAAACCCTACTCTTATCAGTCCTGGATTCTTTGCACCAGAGTTACTAAGATATTGATGCCTAGAAATTTCTGATGCTGGTGCATTTTGTCAAAAACAAAACAAAAAAGCTGTGGGCGACATTGTCAATTTAATTTACTAAACAATGAAATTTCCCAGTATGGATTTAACATGGACTCTCTTAAGTGCTGCTTAACTTAAAATTAAATCAAACTAAAATTAAATTAAAAGCTACTAATTATGTTCAGTTATCCCAAAGAATAAATAACATTTAATCAGAAGTTCTTGCATTGGTACATGCTGGATTAATACACTGTATAGTCTTGAATTAGTGTTACTCAGTTTCCAAACAGGTCTAGGAACTCCTTCTGATGTAGCTTTGTGGTGTTTTTACTGGGCTTCACTACAGTATCTGGGCTGTTTTTTCACCAAGACATTAGAGCTAGAACTGAATAATTTATGGACTGTTGCAACTGCTTTTTAGGGCAATGTGAGCTTCCTTACAGTCTTCAGGGAAGCAGCACTTCTATTAGGCAGAAAAATAGTAAATGACAATAAGTGACACTGAATATTGCCACTCTGCACCAACACCATTCATACCTACCTTCTAAATTTTGTTTACTGGGTGTTTTGGAAGGGAGGGAGGTTGTTCCCTAACAGACTGATAGGAGCACAGAAAGAGAGTATGTATGTAGAAGCATATTTTTGTTGTTTCTCATTATTTTTACTTTTAAAAATTTTGGAGGCCCTTGAATGTGCATGTATTCTGAAGTTATCAAGGTATGCATGGCTGTGAATGCAGTAAGTATATCCCGTTGTTCCTTGTTAGTAAGTAAAAATATTTTCCTAGACTAGATAAGTGGGACTGGTGGAGTGGTTTTTTTTTGTTTTGTCTGGGTTTTTAGCTCAAAGAACTAACTGTCGTTTAAAATTCTGATATTTGTCTAAACCTTGAATATCTATCTTCCTTTTTTTTTACACTAGCACATGCAAATAACTTATGTCACTATTAAACTTATTGAGAAGTATAAAAAATATTAAAGTGAGTTATGGTAAAATAGATGTTTTAATGAAATACAACTTGTCTTTTAGGTGAAAGCAAAGACTGAATTACTACTTTCAGCAGAAGCATCGAAAGCTGCTCAAAGAGCAGATCTTCAGAATCATCTGGACACTGCCCAGCATGCACTGCAAGATAAGCAACAGGTTGTAAGCAACATAGAAACTTAAAGTTTCTATGTTACATTTAAAACTACTTTAAAACCTAAGAATAGTCTGTTTACAAAATAAATAAACATACAAATATGCATTTAGAAATTATAATTTAGGATATTTTAACCATGTGGTATGTATTCAGTTCTTTTTGCTGTAATCTGGACCAGGTATATTTTGCAGTGTAAAGAATTTGCTTGGGAATCCACTCCTTGCTGTGGGATTATATTTCAGAATCTAAGATGTTCTAATGGGGTATAATTCAATTCTCACCTGTACGTTATGAAGAAAAGATTGTAGAGTGCACTTGGGTACAAGTGAAAACTCTTAACTCTTATTGCAGATTCAGATAAATTCAGAATCAGATGTCTGTATTCACAAATAATTATCTGTGTGCTAATGGACACAAAACCCCCAAAAGACTGTTTTTAAAATTGCAAGTTCTAATGTACGTTAATCCTACCGAAGCACTCCACTGGGTGCTTAATCAAATATTTGCATTGATAGAATCAGTGCTGCTGTGGTCTTCATGGAAGCATCCAGCAGATGCTAACATAGCACCATTTTTTAACATGGGAATGTAATTGATTGCTGAAGACCTCTTTTCACAACTATTAAATAATTAATAAATAGATCAGCTTGGATGGAGAGCAATGAGCTTTGATGTAGCTGTCATCAAAGTGTTTGCTAGATAAATGTGTTCGCATGTCTTTTGGAAATTATGTTTTGTGTTGAACCAAATGGTTTGAAATAATCTCTGGTATGTGAAGAACTGACTGTTTCTATGGTATTGGTTTTCTTCGGTGGTACTTGATTTCATGAAAACAGCTAAAATTTTTTCTCTAAGGTTTTGTAGTGTTACTTTCTAATTATTGGTGCATTTGTTACCTACAATTCCTCTTCTACACACCTTTGTGCTTTCCTCTTCTTAACACCTTTGTTAAGATTTAGCTCACAGCCTGTAAATTTTGAGAGGAATATTGAGGCTTTAAAAGAAACTTTGTCAGTTTAACAGAGAGAATTTGTGCATGTGTTTGAGCTTCCCTTCTCAACTTCCGGCTCCTTAGATTAAAAAAAACCCCATTATTTTCCTTTTTAATTTGAACATGTTAGATCATTTAACGCATATATGACATTAGTCATTTTTGGAGGTTATTTAAAAGCTAACAACCCTCGTATTTTTGTTTTACCTCAGGAGTTAAATAAGGTCAGCATTCAGTTGGATCAGGTTACAGCTAAGCTGAATGACAAGCAGGAATACTGTGCTCAGTTGGAAGTCAGTCTTAAAGAGTACAAAGAGAAGCATCTGTATTTAGAACAGAAAACTGAAGAGCTAGAGGGACAGCTTAAGGTTTGTATTGAACACAGTACCTGGACTTACAGAAACGGATGTTCTCCGCTGTTTGGTAGCATGTGATGGAAGCTGTGCTCAAATTATGGGGGAAGGATTTTATCAATACCAGTTTTATAGAGTTTCTTTTTCAGTAGTGTTTCCTAATCCACCATTTAATCCTGTTCTCCTCTTCTTTCACGCTAATATATCACACTAAAATGACAGGCTTAGGACTTTGCCACTATCCTGTCATTTTTCTGGATAGGTGCTTTTAACAACCTCTGTGCTACCAGGAAAGTGTTACGAGAGGGAACGTGAATACATCCCAAAATTAGAGTCTTCATATTTCAAGCTTGTATGCTTTACAAGTGTTATCAGGGAATATGTGTTATATTGATTAGCCCAAGTTAATGCTATCTGTCTGCTTTAATTTATTTCTAAAGCCTTTCAGTAGCCTTACAGAGTCTTTTTGTCAAAATTACTAACTTGATCTTGAGTTTTACGTTTCAGTTCTGGAATCAGTTTTTCTTTTAAAGTGGACATAATTCTGGTGGAAGGCGTTTTGGTGTTTTGAGGTACTAGCATTTTCAGTTAAGGATATAAGTTAGTCCTGATGCTTGAGAGCTTTTAAATTTGGGCTTTAACCTTTGTTCAGTATTTGTTAAAAATAGTTGGTAGTCAAAATTCACAATATGTAAAAGCAGATGATACAGGGATCTTAGCATCAATGCATAACAGGTTTTGCAGTGTTGTCTATCTGTTTTGAGGGACATTAGCAGTCTTTATGCTCAGGACTGAGTTGGGTGTTTTTCCTAGCATGTGTGCTCTGTAGAAGAGAAGGAATATTGTTTTCCCCATATGAAATTTTAGATCTAATTCTGTTATAAAACAAAGCTGTCATCCATTAGCTTTATCGGCATATTTATTTTGTGCTTCATCTCTCTTCTTTTGCACACTTTTTTTTCCTGCCCACTTGGATTTGTGTGCTTATTTTGCAGTCTTTTGCTAAAGTTTCATGAGTAATCAAAAGACACAAATGCTTGGGAGGAGTACAGTGCTCACTTGCACAAGATTTTATAAAGTTCCTGGTAGCTGAAGTGTGAAACTGAGCAGGATTATTGATGCTGTCAACAGAAGTGCAATTCTGTGTAAAATCTTGGCATCATCACCATTCTTTGGGATTATTCCAGTTGAATGCATTTAAAAAAAATAAAAAGGCAAAAAAAAAAAAAAAAAGCCCTCAGGAATTTTCTCAGAGAAACTTGGCAATTTTGTTTTATGCCCACTGTATAAAAGCAGAAGTGCCTGTAAAACAGCCAGTGTGTTGAAGAGTCTAAGCAGGGCCCATTTGCACAGGAAGACTCCTGTGTTGTTTATAGGCTGTGTAAGTGAACAAGTACCTTTGGAAAAAAAACAAGCAAGAAAAACCTCTTCCAAGCAAGCATAGAATTTCTTCACAGCTGTAGTTTGTGTCTTTGTTTTCATTACAAAGAATGGCAGAGTTCTTGGGGTAAATCAGCAGTCATCTGAAACTGCTGAAACTACTTGGTGGTGGCTGAGAATCTGGTCCCAAACCTGAGCACTCTGTATGGCCTTTTTTTTGTATAGGTGTTTTGTATAGGCTTTTTAAAGATTTCTTCTTTTTATCTTTTCATAATGTTTTACCAAAATAGTTCAGTTTTGGAGGAGCAAGAGATTTGCAGGAACTAAATAATGCAAGATAAATAGCAAACTATTGAAATAGGTAGACATGATATGAAATTGCGACTGCTTTCTACAATAAATGCTACTCAGAGTAGATGACTTCTGCTTTTTGTTGCTATTTTTATTTTGCTGGCTGTGTTCTGATGGCTCTATTTTTCTATCTCAGAAACTTGAAGCTGACATTCTTGATGCTAAAGCAAGCAAAGAACAAGCTCTTCAGGAGTTACAGCAGCAGCGACAACTATCTACAGAATTAGACCTCCGAACAGCAGAACTGAGTAAACAACTTGAAGCAGCAAGAGAAGCGTATGCATTTCTTGGGTTATAGTACTTCTCAGACATAAATCTAGAGTGGTTTGGACTAGAATTGAAATTTTGTTCTTCTCTCCCGTGCTTTCTTAAAATCATAGATAAGTAATATGTTTCCTCTGCTAGGAGAACTAAGTTTTATCCCACCTGTTTTCTCTCACTCTATATGCCATGCAGACCCCATCTGCCATGTTGTCTCCTGTGAATGGCTGCTGTGATTCAATACACTTCAATTTATACACCATGCTTGTTGTCAGCTGAATATTTGAACAGTTTGATGTAGTGAGGTCAATCTTTAAATATCCATAGCTCTGTAACTTTTTTCAAAGACTAATTTGCAATTTATGCATAAGCCGCAAAGGGGTAGTTTCTTTTCATTATAGTTGAGGAAGAAAATTCCATCTCAAAATAGTATTTAGAGTTGCTGGTATTTCTTCATTGGAGAGACAAAGTGCCCATGCTCTGGATGAAAAAGGTATGCGTTGAAGTAGTTCTACAGTTAATATATTAAATAATAGAGACATTTAATGATACAAAAAACCCATGAAGAAGAATTTTTAAAAAATATTATTTTTCTCTTTGTATTGCAGGATGTCTAACGCAAAATTGGATTTGCAGAAGAAATTTGAGGCCCTTGAACAAGCGAAACAGCAAATTTCAAAGCAGGAGGAGGAAAAGGCCAGCCTCAAACAAATCCTTGAGAAATCAAATCAAGATGCAAGTAAACAACTCAAGGAATTAGATTGTAAAATGCAAGTGGCAACATCAGAGCTGCAACAAGTGAAATTAGAGAAGGATACTCTATTAAAGGATCTTGCAGCTACCAAAGACAAGCTCTCAAAAAGTTCTGAATCCTTCAAAAAAAGAAAGGAGGAATTAGAAAAAGAAATACAAAAAGGAAAAGCAGCTGTGGCAGAAATGGTTAGTAGTTTCTTTCATTAGGCTTTGGTGTATTTACAGTCTGATAAAATGGCTTTGCTTTCTATCTGAAAACAGTGTACACACAGTGATAATGTATGGAAATTAATTGCCTCAAGGAAAAACAAATTGTGAATTTTTTAGTAGTTCGTACATGTGTCCTACCTAAAATTTTTCTTTGGATGTTTACAGTAGTAAACATCAGTCATATCACACAACAAGATCCCTTTTTCTTGCTGCATGCTTTTAATATGGTGAAGAAACTGAATGGAGACAAGTGGTAAAACAATTTGATGGGAGATGTCCTCCTTTTTAAAAATACATCAGCCTTATTATAACAATGCAAAGGTACAAACCCTTTGCTGAAGTGCCACCATATTGAAGATGATGTTATTTTTCTGAGGCTATTTTAGTTTCCTTTCTGGAGTCTTTGTATTTAGAATCTTCCTGTGCACTTGTCTGGACAGGCTGGAAGGCTGAATACTGCAGAGTAACATTGTCATCTGGGGACATTCCTAGCTTATGGTATTACCAGATTACTAGAACTATTTCAGTTTCAGAAAGGTGTCACAAGTGGCAGTATAACAAAGAGTGCTTGACCACCAGAGCAATCTATTATGGTAAAGAAAGTGAACTCTCACTAGCTTTAAAGTACATATTTCTCTACCTTCTTTTGCTTTGTTGGTAGCGTGAATGGCCACTGTATGAATACATGTTTCAAAGATTTTCTTACACAGTTGTTTTGACACCCCTGCCTCAGACATGGTAGGGGGGGTTTTCTCATTTCCTTCTCATCTTATATGTCACCATTTCCCAGAAGCCTTTCAGAGCTGCTTTTATTCTGGTCTAAAAATAATACTGCTCCTAGTTAAAAATAACATTTTTTCCTTTACTCTTTCACCTTTTTAAGATAAGACTTTTTGTTTGCTTTACCTAGTTACTGCTGTTTAAATATTTGTTTCTCCTAAAAACTTGAAGGATTTTCTCCCCAATTTAGACTTAAAGATAGGAGGGCAGATTCTGCTTCTAATTTTGTAGTCATTTGGAGTCTTGCCACTGTCTTAAGTTCATATCATTTGGGCTTAAAATGTAGTTGTATTTGCATACAAGTCCCACAAATGTACTTGTTTGTGAGTTTTAGAACACCAAGAAATTTTGGATCCTGAGGTGAATGGTGAGCCTACTGCTTCCCACAAGAGGGGCTGCCAAACAGCATTTTCAAACAGGGAGACCATCCCTAATCAGAAAAAATCTTTGCCACATGGTTGCATTTGTTAGTATATGGTATCAGCTTTGTTCAGCTTAGATTTACCAGTCTTACAAATTTTGAGAAGTTTTAAGCTGAAAATATGTCTGCAGCTGAGAAGAAAAGCTTTTCTACTGAAAAGAAAAACATTATTTTTCAATGCTCTTTAGAGAGAGAGAGAGAAAATAGCCGGTACCTGGTCTTAGAAGCTCACAGGAATATTTCCTTGTCTTATGTTTTTTAGGAAAAATCTTGCCAAGAAGTAAAACACCAGCTCCAGGTACAAACAGAGTCTGTAGCAAAAGAGAGGAATGAATTGAAAAACTCACTGGAAAAAAAGGAGGGGGTAAGCTGTGCACTTAGTTTCAAAAATCTGGAAACCAATAATAATAAACATTTAAATTATTTTTTTTCAGTCTCGCATGCTGGGACTGATGAGAGATAAAGAGGTTGCAGTTCTCAGTTCTCTGCCTACCTAGGGCACTGAGATAAATTGATACTAAAAATTTCCCAGATGTTAATGTGAAGATTTAATATACAGGTTTTACTCCTACCTTTCTGTGCCCCACATACTTTAGTGGGGGATTTTAGACTTTCAGGTTTTTTCATTAGTGAAACAGTTACTTGGTGTACCATGTCCTCATTCTTTTTAATACTTTCATACAACAAAAATTGTTAATCTCCTTAGTTCTATTTTAGTCTCAGGCCAAATCAATACATTCTGTGTGGTTGACAGGACATTTTCAGATAACCTTGGAGGATTTAGTTGCTTTTGCAAACTTGTATAAGTCACTTGCCTGTGGCTGCGTAAGGACCAAATGTACTTCTTTTTTAAAGAGGAGAATTCAGACTGCAAAATCATGTAGTCCAGCTGGCAGCCTGAAAATCAAATCTGCTTTCATGGATTTCTTTATCCAAACTATCACCTGTTCCCTAAAGGAATCAGCAAAGATGTGGTCAGTGGACACAGTTTGATGGACTGTGATGTACTCTTACTGCTTGAAAGAGGGTTTGTGGATGTGTAGGTGTGATAGTACTGGCTATGTGACTACTGCTGCTACTCCCCTGGCTCCTCTTTTTTTCAGCAGAAGCACTGTGGTTCTCTGTGGCAAGTACAGGAGGGTGAGTTTGGTATCTGCTGCAGTTGGCAGCAGGAGAGCCCAGACACTGGTGGCTTGAGAAAAGTTGTGCACTCTTTGTTCTGAATGGTGAAAAAAGACTGCAGTTGCTCTGAGGGTGGGAAATTGGGAATAAGAAATGATTTTAATGTGTTATGGTAGCTCTTAAAATCTACTTGCCAGTGTTCAGTCACCTAGCTTTGAAGCAGAAGATAGCATCAGCGGCACTGTGGGATGGTCTGGTTCTGTGTACAAGAAATAACAGTAGCATACTTGGAAACTGTTTTTCTGCAAATATTCTGCAGCTCTTTGTGAAAATGTGAGTGGGCACTGGATCACAAGAAAGGTATAGCTTGGTATCTGGTCTCTGGCAGAGGAAAGTAGCAGATGCCTAGAGAAAAGTAGAGATTCTTCCCAACTTCTAGCAATCTTCTGGGAGCTGGTTTCCAGAAGCTGTATCTTCAGCTTTAACAGCTTTGACCAGTTTTTCATCTGTGAAGCTGTCTGCTTTTTGAACTACATGATTTGTCATCCGTACAGTTCAATAGGCAGTTTCACATACTACAGCATGTACAAAGAGATATTTAAATTAACATTTTATACAGTTATTTAATATTTTTGAATATAGATTTCTAAGCAGTTGTCGATAGAACTTGATTCAGCACGAGCACAAGTACTGGAAATTCAGGGTCTTCTGAAGGAGAAAGAAAAAAGCGAGCAACATCTCCTGGGAAAGCTGAGAGAGTTAAAGGAATCTTTTGAACAGAAGAAAAAACATAGTGAGACATTACAAGCTGAATTAAAAACTGCCCTTTTGGAAAAGGTAAGACTGGCCTCTCTTACTCCTTTAAGAAAATTAATGTGAATTTCTCTGATAAATGCTGCAGCTTTCATGTCAGTGTCTTTGTGATAAACATCTGTTTGCTGTGGTCTTGTTGGAAATTATAAAATCAGGATGTGGGAACAAAGTCTTCAGATGCTGTTGGAGAAAGAAAAAACAACATCAACAACAATAATGTAAGAAGAACCAATGCTGAAATATGAATTCTGTAGGAATTTAGTTGGAATAAAGTGATAAAAGTGGCTAGATTGAACATGTTTATTTTGCTTCAGGAACATGCTATGAGCTGCCATTTTCTTGTACAGCTGTAGAATTTTGTGAGAGTAGTTTAGGCAAACTCTGCAGTGTTTTGAAATGTCCACAGCAGTTTTAAACCAAGTCTTTTATTATACCAAAAGAATTTATCTGAGTGGCAGTATGAAACTCATAAACCATAATGGAAAGGGTTCAAATGTCTTACAATATTAGGATATGTTGTGTTGTATGCCATGCACTATTAAATGTTGCTCCAGCTTTGGCTGCCCTATGTTACATGATCATATTTGTGCCTTTGTGGAAACTTTATGACTTGAAAACATTATTTGCATTTTTAATTTTTGGTCTTAATGTGTTTCACTTAGCCTTTTGACATGAATTAAATTTTGTTATTAAATTAGTTACAAAATGTTACTGTAAAATCACAAACATAGATTACCGAACTGCTGTTTCGGTAAAAAATCTCATCTTGCAGTAGAAATGCAGTTAATTGAAATTATTAAGCTTACTTTACTGTCTGTAACTTGAAACATGCTTATGAAACTATACTTATGTTTCAGGCAGAACTGGAGAATAAACTGCAACAGCAGTCTATTTTGTCAGCACAGGAGCTTAAAGCAGAGAAAGTCAAGCTAGCAGACTTACAGAAGACCCATGAAAAACATAAGGAAAACGTGGAGAAGTTGCAGCTGGACCTTTATGGGAAAGAGTCTGAGCTGCTGGCAACCAGGCAAGACCTTAAGGTACATACAGTCATTTTAATGTCATATATGACTTAGTAGATCTGTTTAGATCCATTTTGAAGACCAATAAACAGTGCAAGAACTATATAGGTGGAAAAAAAGGTCTTCTGCTATATATAGAATTTAGTGCTGTTCATTCACTTACCCTGGGACAATGGACATCCTGAAACTAATTTAAAGCCAAGGAGTATTTGCCAGTTTATCTGAAATACCCTTGCATTTGTGCAGCAGCAAAGTGAAAGATAATTTATTTTTGTATTCTTTTAAGAGTTAATTTTTTTGTGTTGCTTTCTCTTGTTATATATTGTAGCTTTCAACTAATTTAAACAGCATAGCTAATTAGGACAAAGACTTGCTAGCATGTGAGTAACAGCTATCTTCTAGATGATTTAACTAGAATTTAACTTGTCATTTTTTTCCCTTGGCCTTGCCCCTTCCGCTTCTTCCTGACTTGTCGACTTTCAGAGATGTCATGCTAATAGAAACAGTAGGTTTAGGCACCTGTGTGGAGTACGAGTGTCTGAACTTAGTCCTTGAAGTGTTTGCTCTTCCTAAGCTGATTTTCTCTGATTTTTATTAGGGTGTAGTGCCTTCAAAGAGGCATTGTTGGGGGGTTCTGTCAGTCAGTAAAGGTGGCTTCTGTCCTTTTTTTTTTTTTTTTTTTTTTTTTTTTCTGTTCCCCACTGCCTTCATGTCAGTGCTAAGCCAGATAGTCCCAGGACATGCTGTGCTGCAGAGACTGGCTGTCTACTGGCGTGATAGCTTTGGCACATTTCACTTCAGATGAATCCCTCTGCAGTTTTGTCTCTATCTGTCTGCACTCTTGTTCTAGACTCTTCTGAAGTTTACAGAGAGAAGTAGGCACTTTGGAAGGACAGATCATCTGATCTGCTTTAGATGTCAGCTTTTGTTTACTTCAGTATGTATAAAGGGAGCCTTTTGTGACTGCTTAGATTCCATTGCTCCCTTTCACCTGTCCCAGTGGAGGTGTTTCAGTCCCACCAGTAAAATTAATTCAGATAGGCTCATGTGAGCTGTGGAGCCCTAGTGAAATTCCAGGTTTGAGGTTATTTTAATAAAAAGAGAAATAGCTCCTTTACATGTATGCCATTGGAGTTTAATTAATCATAGTCCTCTGTAGCATTAGATTACCTGCTATGTTTCCCCGCACGTTACAGAAACTTTGCTTTCAGTGCAACTTGGTTGAATCACAATGTTGAATTGTAAAGAACTTCATCATGATTAACAAGCAGTGGTGGCTTAAACATACCCTTTTTTATGGTTAGTTGCTATAGCACACATACCTCTGAGTTAATTTCCTGCAGTGCATTTAGATCAGCATTTGGTAATGCAATGACCTGTAAAAACATTGGATGTGCTTACTAACTGTTTTTTTTTTTTTGTTATAGTTTTCATTTAAGTATCACTTGTTGCAAAATCAGCTCTGAATAAGTACTGTTAAAGCAGCTTGATGACCTCTAGTTCTGGCTAGTATAAAACAGGACGGTAGATAGCCCACATGCTTTTAAACCTGAATGGGGATGGTAGTGAGAGAGAGAACATTCATGTGAAAAAGTAAAATAAGGTGATGGCAATGAATAAAAAAGATTTTCAAGATAAGCGGTCAGGTAATTTGATTTATGATGCAGGTCTCTATGGAGCCTAGAGAACCTGGGGAAGTTTGGGGTCCTCAGTGCTGAAGGTATGTACTAACATGAAGGGTGTTTGCTCGATTAAAAAAAAACAAAAACAAAAAGCCATTTTAATTAGTATTAGTGAGGTCTGCTTGACAGCACTTTTTTCTGTAAAATGTAGAAGAGGGAAAAGGTGGAGAGCTGATCTTTAATCATGGATATGCTGCCTCATTGCAATGTTAACCTAAAGAAACAGTGATAACTTGACTTACACCACCACAAAAGGAAAAAGCACATTCAGAAAGCCTCAGTGTGATGTTAGTATTGAGAGCTGAGTATTAAAATGCCACTTGAGGCAGAAGAACTTTATGGTAGAGTTTCACAGTCCAATTCAAAGTCACTTGTCTGGATTATGTTTTGCCTTGGGTGAGTTACTTAACAAAAGTAGATAATTTGAGCCAGAGCTATGGATTTTGATTATAGTTTGGAACCAAAGCTGATGGGTGGGCTGGGGTTTGGAGTGGTCTTAATCTTATTAGCAGGCAGTAGTAGAAGTTTTTAAAAATTGTATGTAAAGTGAGCTTGGGTGTCTTTCAGTGCAGGATTTTTAGTAGAGATATGAATTCCCTTCACAGCCATGTTGTGTCAGCACTGTTTGAAGCATTATCCAGGACAGGCATGGCCAGGCAGTATTGTGGGATCCTAGCAATGCTAGGTTTTCTTTATTTAAAAATACTACAAGGGAAAACATAAATATTCTCACGTGGTGTAGCACCATGGTATTGGTGAGGCCAAGGTTTCAGGGCTGGGGAGATAGATGATAAAAGGCTGTACAGCGAATGGGTGCATGAGTAGGGTGGTAGGTCTAGTTCCTGGGAGGGGATGGCAGCAGTTGGGCTGTACACAGAGCACCATCTGCTGGCATTTGTTCGGAATATAACGGCTGGGATCGCTGGCTCTTCTCGGTCTGGTAGATCCAGGTGTGATTGGAAAGCGAGCAAACACTTCAGTGAGGTTTTGCAGTTGGAGATACAGCACTGCATGAGAGAGAGCTTGCAGAGTGGGCAGCTGCTCTCTGAAGTGCCATCAGCACGGCTGAATCCTAGTTTCTGGGTCAGGAACAGAAGACCCTAGCTATGTAGTTGTAGCCAGATGCAAACTTTGAAGCTGTAAGTCTTGCAGAGTAAAAGTCAGAAGTGTAACAAAATTGAAGTGAGACCGTAGTTATAATTTTGTGGTTACTATTTGCTGCAAATTTACTTTGATTTAAAAATGCACTATTTATAATAGTAACTACACTCATACACTTTTGTCTGTGACTGGAAAAAAGAAATTGGGTAGGATTTGACTGCTTACAAAAGCTATAGTTTTTGATAAAAACAATATATGTAATAAAAAACCCCCACTAAATATTCTGTGTGTGTATATATATGCACATATATACAAATATATATAACAAAAATATTTTGTATGCACACACAAAATAATTAATGGGGTTTTGTTTGGTGGAAAAGGCATTTTTGTTTAATATAGAAGAGTTTATAAAAACTTATTTTTGCCTTGATTTTGAATTGGTGTAAACATACTTCATGTGAATCCTGCTTTCCTGAGCTGTGCCAAGTATCCTTCAGTGTTGGCATTTGTGCTTTATGTAGTCAGTCCTGGTTTCCTCTGTGTTCTCAAAAGAATGTTTCTTTGCCTCCAATATTGGCATCGCTGTCAGTGTATCTTCAGTGGATGTTCTGGGACAAAATTCATGCTGTCAAACCTTAGGTCTGTATGTTGGGAGCCTAAGTTACATACAGTCAAACTAACCCTTCTTAGGAAGTGAAGAGAGATCAGGTTAGCATCTGTGAATAGTTTCACATCTCTCCTTGAGGACTGGGATTTGGGAGCACACAGACTAAAATGCTCATTTGTGCACTTCACTTAAGTGAAATGAATCTAGGTCCTACCACCCAACTAGGACCAGTTCTATACTTCGCACTATTATTTTCACTGCAACAGCCCAAGTTGTCATATCTATTTATTTATTTAAACTCTGTGCCAGTCATCCTAGCATCTGTTTTTATTTACAAAAGCAAGTACAGATTGACCTCTTCTGTACCTTTTTCTTGCATTCGGTTTTGTCTGTCATTCTGAAGAACAATCTCATGACTGAGTGGTATCTTGTTGGGAGAACACCTATCATATTCTGGGAGTAATAGCAAAACTGAATGGTAATTAAATAAGGTGGATGGCATCAGATGTCTTGAGAGATGATTTTATGTTAAAGATGTGAGCTTCTCATCAGTCCAAAAGAATTGGGCTGAATTACAGTCTCAGCGGAGACTGGGCCAGGAGCAAAGACAATAACTGGAATGTTTAACCATGTGCCAGAAGATTTCTGCTCATTTCCAAAGGCTGCTGTGAGGGATTTTTGAGTGAAGCAGAAAAAAAGGCATAAATAGATAGAAGGTTGATCTGCTTTCGAAATTATATTCAGTGGTAGCATCATTATTAATCACAGCACAATTAAGAGACATTCATATATGTAAGCTATAGTATGCCAAATTGGATGCGAAATTCCAAGTCTCTTATATTGCAAACTACTGAATTACAGAAATGTTTGTGCATAATACAGTGCAGAGCAGGCTGTATACTGTCTCCCTGTATAAGAATGTTTACATTGTCTTGGCCTAGGTATAGACACAGTGAGATAACCTGTCCAGTGTAGACACTTTGAGGGGGTGTTGAGAGAGGAGTATACCCTGTGTGAGGCTTTTGATTTGGGTGTCACTATGCACTTCATCAGATTTCATCATCCAGTGCTAAAAAATTGGATGTAACCACATTTCTTCCACTGGAAACAAGCTTGAATATAAGCCATGGCTTCATTATGTTTCTTTCTAAAACTGCAGAGACTATTGGGTTTTCCTGTGAAAATGTTATATAATGATGCTACACTTCCCATCCTTTCTCATTGCTAGGAAGATATGGTACTCCACCGCTCACAGTGGAGCAGAGAGATAATTTTGCTTTCTGAAAAACCCACCTTGCTGAAACCTTGAAATTACAAAAGCACCTACTATTTTGCTTAAAATAATTTGAGTTAACACCTTGTGAAGTGTTAAGCAGTAAACTCTAATAGCCTACAAAGCAGATAAAATAATTTGTGTGCAAATTAGTTTTAAAAGCCAGCATGAGCTTTTTAAGAGCCACTGGGGTTGTTGAAAATACTATTGAATCAGCAGTGCTCCATCACTGGTGTTTCAAACTATGTCTGACTCTACAGGCAAAATACTTCAGTCTTTACAAGGGTGGATTAGGAGGCAGCAGAAATCATTTTGTTTTTAAATCGGCACAGGAGTGACTGCTGAAGCATATGCATAATTAAGTGAAATCGAAAGTTTTCCTTATTGTTTCTTTTAAAATCACTAACATTCAACAAGAAATTTGATTAGGAGTTAAGAGCTTCAAAAAGAATTTAGTTTATCTTGAAAGAATTTAGATCCTTACAGGTGCACTGAACGTAATAAACTTGTTACTAATAATAAATCTCCTCACCTCACATTCGGTATCTTAGTGTCAAAAATGTCCATAAAATAGTGACATTTTGGGGGAGTGGAGGATGAGTTTGGTGGTTTTCTTTCTCATTGATTCTTTGTGAAGGAACATACTTCTAAGTGGAGCTAGTCTATGCCTAAGCTGAAGAGTTTAAAGAAAATAACCTCCAGAATACTAAATCAAGAACCCTGAAGCTTGGCTTTTGCTGTGAGGAAATAGAATGACCCTTGAGTGCAAGTTTTAGGATGTTCCTTGGGTTTTTGTGACCTGTTGTAAAGAGATAAATCCATTTTCTTTTTTCTAGGTAAATGGGGAGAGTTGGAGGCAAAATAAAATACATTCTGTAGTAGATTTTGAATGGAAGTTTAAATTTTGTGTTTAAAATGTTGATGCAGCTGAGACTGTGAAACATTTTTGTCCTAATATTAGCATTTTTAACTTGTACATATCACTTCAGAATTTCAAAAATCTTACCATTTTTCATTAAGTCATTGGTAAAAAATAGCACTGAGTGACTTTTGAAATCTTCACTGTATAGTTTCACTATCTCTTAAGTTTAACAGCTGTCTAGAGTTAGAGACCAGTTGATTTGATTGGAGAATAAATTTGTGTGAGCAAATTCAAGTTTATTCTTTTCATCAGTCACCTTTCATTCTCTGCCCTTTTGAATGTTTTCACCTTTTCTCTGTGGAAAAATGCAAGCCAGAATATGTACGATAAGGTATTGCTGCTGGAAATGGTACTGGTGTAGTTTCTTCTTACTTAGGGTAACCTTGTAACCTAGAAGTTTCTGTACCTATGCTCTGTCAACATTTGAAGCTAAATGTTACACTTTAGATAATGATTTTTCCATGTGAAAATGTTTGACTGTTAAGTATCTGAAGCTCTTATGTTGAGATAATTTGCAGAATTTTCTTTGTAATTAGTCCACAGAAGAAAAGCTTGCTCTAGCTCAAGAAGAATTAATTTCCAGCAGAAATCGAATTGCTAGCAATAATCAGCAGATTCAGGAACTGAAAAAAGCAAAGTCTACACTGGAGCAGGATGCATCAAAGAAGGAGCAGCAGCTGGGCGAGAAGACTAAAATGTTACAGGATCTTCAGAATGACAGGGTAAATGCCCCTGTCTTTTGAAATCTTCATAGACACATCCACCCCACACAGGCACCCTCTATTAATTCCTGTTACATCTCTAAACAAGGGGTATTTTGAGGGCATAGCACTGTGGCAGCGCATAGCAACAGCAGTTTTACTGAATCTCTGATGCAAAGACTTTTAACAGACAGTTGATGTGACTTTGGTTTGAAATTTGTTGTAAGTGGCTAGGCAGGTGGAAAAACATTATTAGTTTTAAATCTAAAACTGCCAACATGCTGCTAATTGTTTGCACTATGAACTGTGGATAGAGATATGTGGCAATTGTTTTCCCTTAATTACAAAGGCTGCAAGCAGGTTTTGGGCCCTAGATGTTTTTTGTTTCGTTGGTTTTTTTTTTTTATTGTGTGAACTTGGAAGAGCTAACTTTTCTGGCTCTTTTTATTTCTCTTTAAGATTTTGAAAGAAAAAGACTTGGCTAATGAAAAATGTAAAACAACAGAGCTCCAGGAAATAAGGACTAGACTTGAAAAAGAAAGTGCCAAGCTGGGTGAAGAGCTTAGAGCCTGCAAGCAAGAATTTGAGAAGGTATATTGAGACAAACTGAGTCTTCATGTGGTTGGTTATTTGATAATAAATATATGCCTACTCAGTAGATGTTATCTGGAATGGCTATGCAAACATAGTTGTTGAAAATATCAGTATTACGGGTAAGGGAATGAAAGCACAGATTTCATTGAGTTCCTGAGTAATGCTGACCTGAGCAGTGATAATTCTGGAGCATTGGTGCCCGGTGTTCTCAGCCAGGTGGACCACATAACTTGCCTTAGCTTCAGGATGGGGTTGTATGTCCTGGCTCTTCTTCTGTTCCACTGTAGATTCACTGTACATACCCTTGCTTGACTCTTCTGAAGTGCAGAAAAGGTGTCCTAAAGTGTCACGAATGTGAAGTTTCCAAGATGTTCTATGCACATCTGGTACTTCTCGAGGGTACATGGTAGGGTTGAAACTGCCTTGATGTGCTGTGGTTTCTTAAAATCTCTTTAAATGTCACAGTTGGGGAAGAAACAATGTCAGGAACCTCATAAAAGACTAACTCTCTTCCAAAATCCTAACAATCCAGGGAGCTCTCAAAAGGTTACAAGTTTGGAGGCTTTAATTGAATAATTTTTGGTCTTCAGTAAAACAGACTTTCTCACCACATTGTACGTATTTAATTTTTTAGTCTCTGTAGAAACAAACGCTCCTGAAGACCGTAGTTTGGGTTTTCCACATTGTGCTACTAGTAGTTATATTTGCATCTGTTAAGCACACAGGGTGTAAGTTGCTGCACAAGTATAAATGAAGCTAGAGTGCCTATATGCTAATAAAAAGAAAATAATGTGATATGAGTTTCAGATGTTCTTTTGTTCTCCAGTGTTTAGAAAATTGTCTCTTATTTTTAGATAGAAGTCTGTACTTTGTTTCTTGCAATCTTGTTTCAAGCAATCTATGCCCAGTACTTTCTTGGATTTTTGGGGAAAGGTTATCTCTATTCTAAAGAAAAAAAATTTATAAATATTTATATAAAATATATACACATCAATGATAGCTTAATATTAATCTCTTGATCTCCCTACAAGAAATCAGACTGAAACAGAAATTGTCTCCTAAAGACTTATACTGTTTCCCATGTGCTACCAAGGAATGAATAGATGTGCATCTGTAGGTCATCCCCCTGTCCTCAGGATATATTCTCCTGCTGTCTTTGGTTTGGTTTTAATTTGTGATGTGAATTTTGAATCCTTATTACTCTGTTAGTACCTGAATGCTTGGCTAAGTAATTTTAAGGAAAATGATTCCTGTAAATTTAGCTAACTGTTCTATTTCAGGATTTTTTATGTTTTATTACAGAAGAACAAGCAAAACTAATGTTTAAAACCAATGTATCATCCTACTTGCTTAAAACATAGGGCAGTTATTTATACATTAGGATAATTATTTATACATACAAGGCTTATAGAAGCTAGCTTTCTTCCACAGTGTTTGGTTTTTACATAGTCATTAAGATGTGTTTAACCTCATTATTGCAATCAGAAATCAATGTGAAGTAGAACAGACTCTAGAAATTACAATGGATGTATCTTTTCAAAGAACTGTAGAAAATAATCCAACAGAGCTTCCACTACTTTAGTAGAAACAAACATTATTTTAAAAATTGTATGTTATCCATACTATAGGTATAAGACTAAAGTCTTTGATCATGAAAATCACGGATACTTTGTGTTGTGAAATCATCCTTTCTTCCAGTGATAAAACTAAAAATTATTGCTGTTCTCTTCTTGGAAAGAATTACAGCAGTTTTGCATTTAAATCATTTACACTTTCAAAGTTGCTCATTTAACTTTGAGCTCTGTATCTTAACAGGAGGTGGCAAATCTCAAGGATGCAAAACAGCTATTGATTCAACAGAAATTAGAGCTGCAGGGCAAAATAGATAATCTGAATTCAGCTCTGGAACATGAGAAGAACACCCATCAAGCTGTCAGAGATCAACTGAAAAAGAGAGAAGAAGAACTGAGGAAAGAATGTGCTGAAATTGAAGCTAAACTGGTTAGTATGTCAGAGACTATAAGACTGTTTTGTGAACATGCCTTTGGATTTTTTCAGGGACAGAGAGGAAGCAAAGTTGACTTCAGTTTCACATTACATTAATTTTTAAATGAAAAAGTCAGAAATCTTTGAGGTGTAGGAAAATTCAGTGGGATGACAGCCTTGTCTAGTAGAGTTTGTTGATTAAAAGTAGTGATTCTAGTACAGTAAGATTCTTTGCCTCAATTAAATGTAGGGAATAGGGAAAGAATACTTGGAAGGTTGTTTTTCATCAATCCATTGTTTTCTTAGCACACAGAGAAAAAAGAGAAAGAAGAAGAATACCGGAAACATGAGGAAAAGGAGACCAAGCTTACCATGCAGGTCACAGCTCTGAATGAAAACCTGGCTACCATGAAGAAAGAGTGGCAAAGTAGTCAGAGGCGAGTGAGCGAGCTGGAGAAACAGACAGATGATTTAAGAGGGGACATTGCTGTCTTGGAAGCAACAGTGCAGAATAATCAGGATGAGAGAAGAGCGTTGCTGGAGAGGTAAGCTATGGTCATTGCAGTGTGGAAGCATAGTTTGGGAGATGAATAGCCTCACACTGAAAACTTGTTTCAGTTGATTCAGGATTCTCTATGTGTGCTTTATTGAAATCCGTGTTTGTTCCTGGTGCCTGGGTTGTGGGTGCAGTTTCCAGAGTGCAACCTTCTGTTGTCCCTGCCAAGGCACAGCAAGGGGTGTTGGGAACACACTGTGATCTTTGTGGGCTTTGACAAGGTGACCGTTCTGTAGAAGATCAGGCAGGCTTACAGGACCTTACTTACCAACAAAGCCACAACTCTGTGCTTGTGCTCGAAGATTTATGCTCATCCATAAGAGCTTTCTAAATCCATTGGATTCCTCGGAACTTTGAGGTAAGTTGTGGCTTCTCATCTCATCTGTTGTGTGAACCTTGCAAGGCCTGTAAGAGAGAGCTTCTCTTACCAGAGTTAACTGCCCTTTTCCATCACACTGAGGTTCCTCTGTCTTGACTCAGGTGCACTAGGTGCACTAGGCATCCAGAAGCCTGGAGCAGATTGCTTAGTGCCTTCAGTAACATAGAATTTGCTTAGGGACTTCTAGGTATGCCCACTGCTTGATGTTGGGAGATTGAACGTGTAATTGGATTAGATAGGCTAAGGTTCACACAGAAGGTATTTTCTTTCTCCTGAAAACCTACATTATTCTCTTGTCCAGTTCTGCTATTGTTTCTACAATATATTTAAATTTTAAGTAAGCCGAATGCCTTTCCTTCAAGCAGCAGGAGGCATGCCAAGGCAGTGGAAGTTACCTGAAAGCAGCGATAACAAGGGTGTAAGAAACATCCGTGAGATAGGAAACTTTCTCTGTCCTTATTTCCTGACGTGTTTGGTGAAGGCAGAGTGGAAATTTTTTTTCAATATTATCAAGCTTGCCGATTTGGCTTTTGAGCAGTAGACCTTGGGAAAGGATGGAATCATTTCAAGTGAGATCCTCTTTCTTTGGCAATCCCTTGCCATACCATGTTGAATTCATCCAGTAGCTGTTTACAGCTTGGCAGAAAAACACCTTGTGAAATTTGCCTTTCAACAGTTAACTGAATTTCAGCTGGTGGGAGGTGGCCGTGCTAGAAGAAAAAGGTTTCTTTTTCTGCTCTGTTTTCTCACCCAATCTGCTGCAGCTGGTATGTGAGTGTCCTGCTGCACGGGGGTACTTACTGGGGCTTGCTATTGATACACTGCATTCAGTACTGTCCCTGGTTTTGGGAGTAACTCCAGGTATTAATAAGCTGCAGATATTTGAGAGCAATGCCAGATAAACTGATTGTTACAAGAGAGCATTTTTCCAGTCAAGGCATCCAAGAACTTTTCACAGCAAGGATATTTTTGGCTGGATTTTATGAGTAACTTCTCAGACGTCACAGCCTGCCTAAAAGAGGCGGTGTACGTTGCCTTACATGCTTTGAGCTGACTCTTTACTGGTTTTCCCCAGGTGTATAAAAAGTGAGGGAGAAATTGAAAAGCTTCAAGCCAAACTTGTAGAAATGAAGAAAAAGCTGGACAACACTACTGCTGCAATGCAGGAACTTGGCCGAGAAAACCAGTCATTACAGGTACAATTTGATTTTAAGCAATTAAACCTGTTGATTCTCTGTGTGGGAACTTAGGAGAATTTTAAGTTTGTGTCAAATTGGTGGTGGGTTACCTTTACAGAGTCATTAAGGTGTTCTGCTTGTGGTGTGTGAAGGCCATATTGCTGTCTGTGGGTTCTTAAATCTGCTCATAGTTTTGAAAATTGGAAGATTTTCTTTCTGAACAAATATAAGCTCTCAGTATCATGGCAGAATTCATGCTTTTATACGGCACTGGCGTAGTGTGTGCAGTAAAAATAGAGGAAATTAGTAGGAATTAGACATGCATTTTAAATAAACCTTTTTTTTTTAATATCTTCTGTATAGATCAAACACACCCAAGCTCTCAACAGGAAGTGGGCAGAAGACAATGAGGTACAGAATTGTATGGCCTGTGGAAAAGGCTTTTCGGTGACAGTGAGAAGGGTAGGTGTATTTTACTGTGTGTCTGTGGGGATTTTCTGTTGTTTTTGAAATCTTAGATGGCATACAAACTTCAGAAAATGGCCTTAATAGTTCTGTGACACTCAGGACATCTCCAATACAGTTATTGCTTGCAGTGCCTTAAATATTAAAAGTAAAGTTTGTGGAGCTTACATTATTCATGAGTCTTTTGCCATTTTAACAGCATCAGTTTATAAACAGTGTTAAAATAGTTCAATCCCTTAAGCAAGCAAGCAAAATTACACTGTTGTAAGGGTATTTAGAGTAAACTTATTTATAACCAGTCTGAACTGGATTTACAGGTATAAAAGAAATGTAAATTTGTTGAAATTAGGTATATGTGAAAATATGAGCCATCAACATGATCTGGTGCTTTGTAACTAAGCAGTAACTAGATATGGAACAGAAGAAACAACTGGATGTATTTTAGGTCTGTAGTCAGACCTTCTTTGTAAAAACAGCTGTGGTCAGCTAAGATGTTAGCATCCTTCAATGGGCAGGGTCTGCCCTTCATCCAGAGATTACTGTCCCTCCAACAAGTGACATGGCAATGAAGTAGGTAAGGGATATTCATGAGGTTCATTTTGCAGTGCTTCCTGACCTGGTCTCAGGTGGCTCTCCCTGTCCTGCATTATTTCAGTTAGGTTCTTTGGGTAGTCTTTGAACAAAGGCTGCTGGATCCTTCAATTCAACATTACTTCTCAGTGTGAAAGCAGGTAGTTACATGTAAGAACAACATGGTTTTTGTGACCAGAACAAGCTCAAGAGGAGAAATTCAAGAGGAGGATTAACTACAACCAGTTCATTTCTGAAACTGGTACAGTATCCCAACTCCATAAAGTGCTTCTGAATATTTTACTCCTGTACCCTTTAGAAAGGATTTAGTCCTGCATCCTTTTGTATGCTCTGTAACTACTATTTAAAAATTCAAACTAACTTCTGAAACATGAGAGTTGACTTGACATGATAGCATATAGCATAGCATAGCATGATAGTGATCGATGCCCTGTCATTGATGTTCAGCATGTATGTTTCTTCTCTTTCACAGCATCACTGTAGACAGTGTGGAAATATCTTTTGTGCCGAGTGCTCAGCAAAGAATGCCTTAACTCCTTCTTCTAAGAAGCCTGTCCGAGTCTGTGATACTTGCTTTAATGACTTGCAAGGATAACTGGCTATCGTGAGTGACAAAGAAATGTTACACTAAAATTTATAATTTCTGTTGTTGCACTTCATTCAGCACTCAGACTACTATTCAGTTTGGACAATGATTGTAACACTTGGTAAAATTTAGTATATTTTAAATTGTTTATTGATACCAAGTAAAACTATTGTATTTTTTGTGAGACATGAGCTCAGATCATCCTTAGCTTACTGCCATTTATCCTGGAAGGAGCTTCTATGTCTAGATTAGAAATACCCAGTTATTTGTAAATAAAGTTTAAACAGAGGAGTAACAATGTATTTTTTTATCTTTAATTTTTTTGTTCAAGAGAAACAGCGTTTGTGATATTGCAGTTTATTCTTGTTTCCTTCAAAGAAAAAGGAAGACACAAAAACTTGTGAGGATTTTATGTATCAAATGTTGCTCTAAAAGCATAACTAAGTGTTGCATTTGATTGCATATCCGATGTTCTTTATAACCCCTTGTGATTTTGTTCTCTTTCTATCTCTCTGGTTCTTGGACTTCTCTCTCTATAAGGTTTGAACTCCACAGTGAGGGTAATGGCTGGACTCAACTCCAATTTGGTTTTATTTGCCCACTTAGAACTTGTAGTATCAGCATCTGAGTCCTTATCCAAATACAGCGCTTGGATACTGGAACATCCATACACATACTGTATTGCGTAGTTTGTGTGTGTGTGTGTGTGTGTGTGTGAGAGAGTATGTGTGAACAAATGATGAAACAAAGTTTAGCTGACATTGTAGGTATATTACACGATACAGTACAATATTCCATCCTGTATTGATTGATTTCACTTTGACATATTTGGTAGATGAATTTTAATATTCCAAAACCCCTTATGTGTGGGTTTTTAAAAGCAAACACACAATACTGGTAGTAGCCTGTAGTGCATCTCTCCCCCTGCCCTTACCCTGGAAGCCCTGAAGGTCCTTGTGCTTCTAAAACGTCTAGACCTTCCGTGCTAGGTATCCTACTAAGAAAAAGTCTTTCTGAGACTGCTGCAGTTTATCTGACCTTTTCTTGTGTCTCTTCCCTCAGCTTTTGATGGAAGAATCTGAATTCCTGATACACCTAATAAGCTTATTTTCCATTGCTCTATCTGCCTGCCAGTACCAGTGGGGTCTTAGATGTTATATGATTTAATCCGCTCAGAACAGTGGTGTGACTCTCCTGCTACTAGGTTAGTTATAAGCCAGACAGCTCTAAATAAGAAGCCAATATATACATCTTTAGATATTTATTCATATTTGCTGTTCTAGCAACAGAGCTTTCTTGTAGAGTTCATATAGGCTCCAGGCTTCTTTTTTGATGTGATTTTTATTTACACCTGTTCATTTTTGCCTGCCCGTCTCTAACTTTTCTTCCCTTTGTATCTGGTATTTCAAAACAGCTAGGGTTATTTCTTCTGAGTAGGGGCTATTCCTTCTGATATTTAGGGACCCTTTGTCTTAAATACCCTCAAGTTCCCCACACCCCAGGGCCTTCTGTGTCTTCCATAGTTGTGCCAGCTGTTCAGAGAAAAGGACTGTGTCCTCAATTCCTCTACTACTTGCTTGAGGTAAGGAAAATCCTGTTACAATGATGGAAGCTTAGATATCATAAGGCAGGTTCGTTTGCTTTTATCCATTGACAGCTCTGTATGTGAATGAAGAAGATTTTATTTTATGAAAAATGTCTAGTCCTAATTAACTCTCAGGTGAAAAAACTTCTTAATCCCTCCTCTCCAGAAGTAGTGATCTATCTGTTTCATATCCCTTCTTAGCTTACCTGTCTAATTCTACATTTGCAGCCTCAAGGAGTCTTCTGCTAGGAGTTTTCTTAAAATTAAATTCTTATTTCCCAAAAGCCAGTCAAATTATGTAACTGGTTCTCCTCAGTGTAAAAGGGTTTGGGATACAACCATAGTTTATGTGAAATATTACCTGCTTTTCTGGTCTGAACTTGAGAGTTGCTTGCTCGAAAGAAACAATTGCTGCAACGATTCCATATGAACAGAGCCTCTGCACTCACTGTTTTTTCTCATTCTCATGGCATAAGAATCTTTTGAATAGAAAGATACAAGCAGAATCTCTGCTTCTTGGAATTTTAAAAATTATTTATTTATTGAGAGAATCCAAAGAGTTTGCTTTTGAGTCTTTGTCTGACATGTGACTTAGGAAATGTGGGATAAGTAAAGATGTGACAGTTGTGTTCCAGCCTAGATGCACTCTGCCCTGCTGTGTAATACATGGAGCCTTGTGCTGCACTCAGACTGAAGGACAACCACGTGGAGCAGAAGGGATTTTGCGAGGGAAGACGAGCTTCCTGCAACCACACAAGGGCAAAATGCATGAGGCAGAGGGAGGTGGAAGTGTTTCAGGGGGAGCTAGGAAAATGATCGAGAGAGTCACTTGTGTTCAGGCATTTTGTTTTTGAATGGCAACCTGTGAAAGCTGAGGAGAGGGTTCTGCAGTAAAGAGGAAGTGGTAGAAGCTCTAGTAGGGTTCTTAATTCAGCCTTTTGGGATGCCTTTGTGTAAAGACAAGCAGAGTCACCTCACTCAGCTGGCTACTGAAGCAGGGAGGTTGGTTGACTGCAGATCAGACCTCGGTCTGGAGCTCCTGAGCTTTGGGAGCAAAATCAGCTCCGTTTCTGAAGGGTTTTTTTGCTGACCAGGTTTATGTGACCAACTTTTTTTAGAGGATGGAAATGCTTTTCAAACACACATTTGTAGAAAGAGGGATTGTTGAAATCTGGAGGAACAGTGATGGGGTAGAAACATTCATTCTTGAGCTTTGAGTATGCAGCAATAGCATTTCTACAGCTTTTCACTGGAGTAAATTTATGACTCCATTTCTAGATCTTATTCTCCTTCTTTTGTGATTATGATTCTTAGTGGAGGTCTGTATTTGTTGACAAGTTGATGGTATACTAGATCGTATAATGCTGCCAGGTTGGAAGCTCAAGCTCAGTAAAATTATTTGTGAGATACATAATAAGGGAAACTGGAAGGTGAAAAGCTTTGTATTTATATATCTGCTTGCAGAGTCTGACTGTTTTGATGGACATATTTCAGTAAGAATGTGGGGGTTTTGTTGCACCTGCTTTAAAATACAAGTAATAGGAAAACCTAGTAAAAAGCCTATTAACTTTTACCACACTGAGTTGAAGGGTTCCAGACAAAATAATTTAATGCACTGAGTTCTCAGACTGCAAACAAAGGAACAGAGGGAAAAAACTAATAAAATGGCAGAAGAGGAACTGGAGGATGCACAGTGATGTAACAGCCTCTGGCAAGAACCAGATTGCTTGATCCACTGAAGAGAGGCTGTTATAGAACAAGAGGTGGAAATAATGGTAAAACCAGCGCTTGAACCTGTTAGGTGTGTGGAATCCTCAGCTGTCTTTGATTACTAGCCATTACCATGGGACAGTGAAGTGTGGGGTTTGTTCCTGACACTGTCCCCTCTGCAGGACAGTCCATCCACTTCCAGAATTGCTGGGAGAGCGGAATATAAGAGACCAGCTGCTATGTGGGTTGAGGCAAGCTACAGAGGCAATCAGGAAAACATACAGGATAGTCTTAAGGGTGGGGAGAGGTTCTTTAACTTCCTGGAGACATCACCTCTCTTCTCAAAGAGCCACAATCCCTTGTGTTGTTGCCTCCAAAATGCCAAATCCTACTGTTCTACTCCAGCCTCATGTCAGCAATAAATACTTCATACTGCCATCCTGCCACCCCTCTGGAGGCAGATAGCATTGCAGAGGTCAGCAACAGGCTTTTGATCTTAGCTGGCTGTGCTTCACTGTTATTAATTTCTTTTCCCCATGTGTTCCTTCCCTCCAGTAATCTTCCCCTTTCTACAAAGGTTGAACAAAGAGGATAAAATTAATGAGTCACAGTAGGAAGAGTTGCTGTTTGCAGATGAAGAGACAAAAGGGAATTCTCTGCTGCAGCTTCCAACAGAGGCAGGAGGTTTAGAGGGATCTCATTTTTCAGCTGGCTTCACTGTCTGGCACAAGAGTCCAAGGCTCTAGGGTACAGTGTGGGTTTTTCCCTCTGGTTTAGGAAGGTGTCAAATAACCAAGTTGCCATGGAGTGTGAAGTGCTAGGTACAGAAGAACAATGAATAACTATTTTTGTTGTGTTTGGGACAATTAGGATTATTTGTGAATCCTCACTGGAAAAGCTTTCTTAGTGAAGCAAGAAGGGATTTGGGAACAGAAACACGAAGTAACCTTGCTCTCTTTGTTTTACATTAGCAAGAGCAATTGAGTCTCTTATGCTAGATGTAAGAGATGTGACATTCCTAAAGAAGGGACCTAGAAAAATTCAAGTATTTTCTGGATTGGTAAACGTCAGTTAAACATGAAGTGGGAATAAATGCTTGTTGCAAAACTTATAAAAAAAAATATGACCAGTAATCAGTGGCAGACAGAAAACTGCTGGAGTTTAAGTTCAAACAGAGTATAAACTATGCCACGAAGAATGATACCGTGGTTTGAGTATGTTGAAACTGGTAAATTGTTCCTTCAAGTACCAATCCTTCCCCTCTGATATTTGTGGAGGACTAGGAAACAACACTGTCATTTGCACTACGCACTTTTTGCTGTCTAACTGAATATAATCTACAGGAGATGGAATGGCATAACTTGCACTGTGTGTTAGCTGTAATCAGTGGACAGAAGGTTTATCTTCAGCTGGACTTTTCACTGTATTACATTTGGCCCCTTGCTATGTAAGGACAATTGCACTCGTATTTCCTTTGTACCAAAAATGCAATCATCATCTGAGAGCACATGTAACAACAGAAACCATGTAGTCACACACATGTTGTCTTTGTAGAGCTTCATTTTAAGATTATAAAATGAAAAAACATGAATTTTATGTATTTTCAGCGGTCTTGTCATTTGTTCAATTCTTAATTTTTGGTCTTGACCTCAGCATCACTTCTAGGATTAGTTTAAGGTTATTGTCCAACCACAGCCTCTCCAAAAGCACTAAATGGTGTACTTCTGAAAAACAGCAATAATTGGATAGTATATTCTTGCCACAATGTCTCAGTTTTGGGGGTATTTTTTTTTGTTTAAGTGACACTGAATAAGGGACACTGAATAAAGAAGTTTGCATCTTTAGAAAGAACATAAGATGCCACTTAAGATCACAATAATGAGGAGGATAGATACTAGTCAATTAATAAATTCTGCCTTTTGTCTGTAGCTCACCACATACTATGCACTCACTGTGCAGCAGATACAGGAGTATCTGCTCATTTGAAGGTTACTGAAGCCCTGATAACCGTTTTGGATCAACGTTACTATGAAAGCAGAAGCCTGGTAGGCGTGTTTTCCAATTTTTCCTCCACCTGTGACCTAAACTAAAACCAAATTAATCTGTATTTCCTGCCTTTTTTGGGTAGAGAGAGTTGGGAAAGAGTGTTCATTGTTATATGTCAACAGGCCAGTGCTGGCAGGTCCAGGCTCCTGCTGTTGGCTTTATGGCAAAGTACTTCGTTGTATCACGCTAAAGCTTGATTCCTGGTGCAAAAGGGATGTTTGAAAGAATGTCTCGCTGGGTTAGCAAATACCAGAACTTTTTATATTAATGTGTCCAAAATGCTGCTTGTATAGGATTTGTCACTTTTGTAAGAAAAAAGAAAAAAAAAAAAAAAAAAAATCACACAAATACCATAAACCCCCACTATTTGATGCTGTTATGTAAGATTTCGTTTAAACTACCTCTCAGTGTGAAATTCAAACATTAGGTAAGTTTAATAAGGGTTGGTCACTGTCATGTTTTGTAAAAGTTATAGTGAATGCCAAAATTGCAAAAGTTGATCACCAAAAAGGAAAAAAGTCTTTCTTTTTTAATGTGTTTGAAAGTATCCAATAGTTTCAAGTTACTATAAACTCTGTATTCTTTTAACTTACGTAGTTTGAATCTTGCACACTCTAGCTGCTGGACAGGAAATAAATCATAACCACAAGCTTTCATAATCACCGTCTGCTGGGTATAACAATTTTGTATGCAGCTTTGTCATTTGGCTATAGATAACCTCATTCACCAAATGTACCATTAATTTAGTTATCCTTTTTTTTCTTCAGTACTCAAGATGTGAACTTGATGAATGGTATTCTGTAATGGATGTGTGCCACAAATTACATTGTTTTGTTTGCCTCTTTTCTGAATTTTAATGATCAGTTTATTATTGCAGATTGGAATATCGCACATACAACTTAATTTCTGTATAATTGTATAAAATAGAAATGGAAAAAGTTATAAGTTCTTACCCAGTATTTAGAGGTAATGTATTATACTAGCCTTATGTTGCAGTTTTACCTACAGAGTACTGCACTTCTTTTAAACTGGATCATACCATCTTGGTAGGTGTAGATAGATTCTTTTTTTTTTTTTTTTTTTGCATGAGTGTGTTTTGGTTTTGTTTCTTTTTAATTGAAGTTCGATTCTCTTAAGTTCTATTTTCAGTGTTTGTGTTCACTATTTGTGGTCATGTAGTTGTGCCTTACATTGTAAAAGAATTTAGTCCAGCGTGCACTGTAATTCCTAAACTCTGTGATTTGGAAGGTGGCTGTGGATTTGGATGAGAAGATGACACCATGAATCAACCAGTTCTGTAAAAACTATGATCAAATGTTATTGAAATGTCATTTTTGTTTTCTAATCTGTTAAAGGAATGATTGACAATAAAAAAAAAAAAAATAAATTAGACCTTTCTAATAGACCAGTTCTATCATTCAAAACTACCTTGCCCCATTTCAGACAGCAAAGCTACTTGGAATGAGGGATATATCATTTTGAGTGAACTGTTGGGAAGCCACACATCTAAGAACAAGCTAAATGCTCCACTTTCTTAAACTTGTGGGGAGCTGCAACAAAAGCATTCATGTTCTTGAGACAGCAGTGATAATGACTGTTTTTCAAATCTGTATTTTCACAGGTTCAGCGTAATTTTCCCATTTCCAATAACTGCACAAAGCTGCTGAGTACCCTGTGTTCAATTATGAAGTCCTTCTGTCCCTGACTATGTTCAGACATCACATGCAGTGCTGTCGGACAACTAGCATAACTGGAAGACTTGGAAGTAGCACTTGGATTAGTTCTTTAGATTAATGAAGGGCTTGCTTGTCAGATGGAAACCTTTCCGGGGTGGATCTGCATTGCAGAGAGAAGCCAGGTGAATAACGTGTGTGTGATCAGTCCCGTGACATAGCTACTATCGAACTGTGGGGACATTCACAAAAAAAAATGTGTTTAGCTATTGAAGCAGATCTTCCTAGGGGCTCTGTATAGACAGTGGAGAAGTATGAAGAGGTCTCTTGCAAGGCAATTGGAGTTGTGAAGTTAACTTCTGCCTTGACTGCTTTCTGAGGCATCATTCTCTCCAGACCACAGGAGAGCCTGTTGAGTTTACGTCTCCCTGACAACAGCCTGTGTGTGAACCTTCCTCTGGTGTTTCTTCCTTGGAGATGTGTGGGCCTCCAGGAAATACTGAATCTCTGGGATTGCTTGGTTGTCTGGTAAATTGAGCAGACCCTGCTTAAGGTTGTTTCTGGTAAAAATACACAGATGCAAAACACCCCCTCACTTCTGCCAGTGCGCAAAGCGCAAAGCTTAGTTTGTCAGGTGTGACTTCTCTGGGCTTTAAATATGTTTCTGTCCTACCAGCATTGGTTTCAAGTTACTGTGAGGTTTTAGTGAAGCACCAGGATGTAGAGGGGAGGGTGTGACATGGTGTCCAGCTGAGCTTGGATCAGGGATATTGAGCACAGCTGTGTAAGTCGAGTTGTGGTCAAGTGGTTGCAGCTTGAGTGGTGTCCTGGAGCAGATCTGCAATTTCCACTCTGCTCTACTGCCTTAGCTTTCACCGCTTGCTATGGAGCCTGAGTGGCTGTTCCTTTCCCAGGAAACTGTCACAAAACCTTGCCCATCACAGGCACAGGGGGAAGAGCTGGAATGTGTACTCCAGGCGGTGTCTGGAGAGTAATGAACCAGGTAAGTACATACATATCTACAGCCTCTAGACCATATCTTACAGGTACAAGGTGAACCAGCTCAAGTGGATAAAATATAACATCCTGTTCTCTGAGGAGAGAGCCGGGTTGGGGCAACAGCTGATCTCCTGTCTGATTCGATTGTGAATGCTGACTTCCCTGTGAATAATGCGACGACTGGAAGGGCGCTCCTGCATTCTTCAGCATAGTCCGCATCTATGTAGCTTCTCTGTTCAGTTCTCCCTGAAGTAATTTCTAACACTGAAGGGATATTCTAAGGGCTAACTTTTCTGCTGAGGGAGAATAGCTGATTAGGGACAGAAAGTGGGGTGCTACAGTCACTTAGAGTGGCTTTAAGGAAGTTTCCCTTTCTGCCTTTGGCTAATCTTGAGGGATTAGCCAAGGCTAACCTGGTGAGAGCACCCTCCCTCCGTGGTAGTAACCTGCATGAATGTTGTGGCAAACAGTTTCAGGCTGTTCTGTGGGTTTCTTTCAGTACCTCAGAAAGAGGCAAAAATAAAGTGATTAACAGGGGAACAGGGGCACACTTCTGTGTGAACCACAGATCTGGGATGGCAGTGAAGTACTGAATGGTTTAACACCTCAGTTTGTGAAGCAGACTTGAACTCTAATGCTGCAATGGGTGTGAACAATGCATAATGACAGATCTGCTGTTGATAAAGTGGTGAAAAACCTGATAAAAATACCCAGTAAAACCCATCATTGCACTTCTTTCTTTTTGGCTATTCTGTAGCATCTCTAGTTTAAAAGAATATTATATGTAATTATGACCTTTTCCAAAGAAACTTAAGTAATCTCATTTAAAAAATTAATGGGTAGTCAACAAAATACAAGCTTTTACTGATCTGCCTCCACAAGCTCGATGTTAATGCAAAAAACATCTTGTGATATCATACTTTAGTAGGTGGAGACTCATAACAATCAGGAGCTATGGTTATGCAACTTTAATTTCATGAAATTTATTAATACAATTTGAATGTTCTTGGAATAACCCTTCTAGACTTCTCTGGTTCTCCTCACCAACATAGGTTTTTTTCCCCTGTCCTGCTTTCTAGGAAATGACAAGCTGTATTAAAATAAGCTTCCCTGAATGGCAAGAGCCTTCTCCTAGCTGAAGCAAAGGAGCATCTAAGAGTGATACATGTATTGCATAGCTCATTTTCCTCCCTACAGTTTATTCCTACATCCCTTGGTCAGAACTCCTCAGTTCTGTCTAGTCAAGTCAGAAGTTGTTAGCTTCAGAAACTTAAGGCATGCTGGAAGAAATAACTGTTATCACCACAATAGTCTTCCACTGGCTTTGTTGGTGTCATGTTGACATTATTAAATTTCAGAAGATTCATCTGGGAGGCAGAAAGCAGTGCTTTTCTTGGTTTCATGTTGCGCGGTGTAATTGGAGATTGCTGTTTCTATCTGTGACAACCATATTTTCTATAACAAGAAAAAATTATTTGTAAACCAAGACAATCTAAAAAAGTTCCAGTACTTCAGATATATAAACACCCAGAGCCTTTGGTTTTATTTATCCTTTCTTCAGGCCCATGCACATAATTCCTGAAGTGAAAATGAATTACCCCAGAACTGAGACTCACAGTTCCTCAGGCCACTACATGCTACTGGAGCCTGTGCCTGGGGCTGGGGATTTCCAGTGAAGGTTTCCTTTTTGGTTGGATTGTAGGATTTTAATGTTCTGTTTGCTTGTAATGGTGAAGTTGCAGCTGCAGGCTTTTTCACATGTTTTTATGTAATATTTATTAGTTTAATACAATCCCTGCAGTTCGGGCTCCCCGTTCCTCTGATGAAAACCGCCCCAGTGCTATCAGTATCACAGGTTCTGTCCACCTCTGAGATCTGTCATGTGCTGCCACATGAATTTCAGTTTCTAACATCACACTGATAGCATTCAGCTCTGCATCTGCTGTCATCCAGGTATGAGGGCAGGGGGTGATTGCTGGAGAGATGGATTTAAAGTACTTCCTTCTCTCTATGCTAGTCTAGATGGTCTGGGTTGCATAAGCTGAGTTGTCTCTGTATTGCTATGATTAGACATTACAAATCAGTTGGCAGCAATATAAGCTTAAGGTCTAGCTTTGTTTCTCCCACCCTAGGGATTTTGCCTAGTCAGGAGCTGCTCTCCTTGCTGTAATGCATGTAGAGACACTGAGTTTTAATGCAAAGAGTAGAAATGCCTGAGAAGGGGCAGCCTGTTCTACTTCATGCTATGCTGGGATTCATAAATTTTGTTATTGAGCTATCTAGTTGTTTGTTGTGTGTGTTTACACCCTGAACAAGTTAGACATCACTTTGAAAAATAGAAAGCTGGAGAGATAAATTGGATGACCTACAGGTCTAAGGAGTCCCAGCAGAGGATGTGAGAAGAGTCTGCACATGCCTGGCAGAGCACAGAGCCTGGCTTTGGCATGGAGCGGTTGCTCTGGTCCCTCTGGATCTGCTGGCAGAGGAGGGGCTGATGTGCAGTGTGGTGGTTATGCAGGGAACTGTATAAACCCGTAGGAGGCAGGATTTAAACTGTTGAGCTTTTTAAGTCTCAGGGAGGAAACGAGGGGAAGAGAACGGAGGGCAGGACAGTGGTATGGGTGGGATGAGCAACAGCAGCATATTTCAGGTCTGTGTTTTCATGTGTCTGCTGAGTGTTGGGTCTCTGAGAGAGAGGTGGGAGTGAGGCAAAGGGTTCACTGCACCTGAGCTCAATGCATTGCACGTGGTCCCCATGCAGTTGGCAGAATGCAGTATGGCAGTGAGAGGCAGGTGGGCAGGGTGAACTGGGAGCCAAGGCAGGCACTTCATAAAAATCAGGAAATTGAGTAAGAGGCAGCTTGTAGCGTAACAGCCTTCTGCTTGGGATGAATCAATGGGAATATGGTGTGTATGGTTTCATTCAGTTTGCTGTCTCCATTTCGATACAGTTTAGGTAGCTCGAGGCCCTGGTCTGACAGCCCTCGCCAGTGTCAGTCTTATCCAGATCATCTTCCTGTCTGCCTTCCAGAATCGTGTTAGCTAAACTCATGAGCTCATCTTGCCTAGCAGTTTCTTTACAAAATGTATTGATCATGCTGAGATTCACGTTCTTGGGAGCTGAAATAAGGTAGTTTGTTCAGCTGGTGCCGGAAAGTCTACCTTTCCCAGGGTTTAAGAGTGCCCAAAGTCAACAAAATGCAGTGATGCCACCACATCCAAGTGAAAAGAACCTTTCACTGCAGGGTTTTTCCTTTGATAAACTGCACCTGGGAGATTTTGAGAAGATGGTAGCCACCTGGTTGAAGGCAGCTTTGGAAGGGAAAGGTGATACTTCAATAACAGGAGAAGGTAACACCACCTTGAGTAGATACCTATTCCAAGTACCAACCAGTGACTTGGAAATGCAAAGAATTCACTCACTGCTCTTCCCTGAAAAGTAAAATGCAGTAGATTAATATTAGCGTTAGTCACATTTCTGTGCATTAGGTATTAGAGAATGAAATTCAGCTTACAGGAAAAAAAAAAACCCAAACTTCTGTGAAGTGCCTACCATGCTTTCAGATGTATACAGCACTATTACTAGAAATGTGGTGTGAAAATGAGCGATAAATTTATATAATAGTGGAATTAATCATACCATCTGTTCAATCTGAAATTGCAAGACGTGTGTTGCGCATAGATGAGTGTGATACAGTTTTCTGATTGAGTACTACTGCATATCAGTTGGGTGTGGGGGGTGTTTTGGTGTTCATTTCTCTGGAGGGGCTGGCTGTCTTCATTTGTGTGACGCAAAAAATGGCTTTTCTTTAGCAATCAGAAATGCTAATGTTTTTCAACAAGAATACGACCTGCTATCAACCCTGCTATAAAATCGGTACATGTTCAATAGCAAAAAGTCTGTAACAAATGTGTGAGCCAGAGCACTGGGGTGTTATTTTGTTTGGTTTTGGTCAAATGTCACAGCTGTAATAGATTCTTACTGCAGTATAGGTGCTTTTAGGCTGCAGTCCTCATTTAGGGAAGGCATAGTAGTGTAATTAGAGGAAAAAAAAAAAAAAAAAAAAAGCGTGTTACTTAACCTTGGCAGTCTCTATCTAAGCTTGTAACAGGAAGACTGCTATGCACTGACGATACCTATTTTCATGCTGTATTAGGAAAGCATTTCGCAGGCTGAAGACTGTGGAAAAATATAAAGTGATACAAATTCCTTCATGCAGCTGTTAGTCCAATTTTACATCACGTTGATTATGATTAAAGAAATGATACATGTAATCATCTTTTCTGATTCTTCACAGGGCAGTGCACACTGATAGGGTTAGGGGGTTTTGTGTGGGAAGCTTTGTTATTTAAAAAAGTTACTTCTGCTTGCATTTGTTTTATTTTTAATTACTTTATCATTGTGCACCTAAGGCATTTTTGAGTCTAGCTGAGGATCATTAAGACAAGTTTTCATTCAAAGTGGATTAAATCAAAGCTGAAATTAACAGAAAAACAAATATCAAAACTTAAAAAAGAAAGGCCCCATTTTTATTTTATTTCAAATGGGTCTGTATGATGGCTGCCATGTAGATAAGTGGCTGCTCTCAGGCTGATGGTGGGTTTGGGTGTTCTCCCTGGGGTGTGTGCATGAGCCAGTGCTGCTGCCTAGGGTGGCCTCAGCTGGCTGCTGGGAGCAGCGTTTTGCTGGGCCAGGCATGTTGTCAGCAGCACTCTGGTTCCTGCCAAACATCAGCAGGAGAAGTTAACCAGTGACAGGAGCATCTCCTGGGTCCTGCAGGTGACTTTGAGCATCATGTAGCAGGTTTCCCCGCAAGAGGTCAAGTCAGCACAAACGGCGCATGTCCAGAGTGAAGGGGTGACTTAAGTCTGCTGTGAAACAAGCTTAGGGGACGAGGAGGGGAAAGCATCTTCAGGTAGCCAAAATCCTGTGGCAGAAGGAGGCATGCTCGGGTGGGCTGTTAGTAGCAAGGAGCAGGGCACAGCAACCTGTTACAATGCACTGGACTCGGGTGGTTGCACATTGTGTTGCCTTTTCTTTAGCTAGAGTTGACACAGCTGTAAAGGAAGCGATGGCAAGCAAGGTGTGGGATTGCCTCCCTCTGAGTGGGGGCCCTAAGTGGAGCCCTGCTGCTGAATCCACACAGCCTGAGGAGAGCATGGATCTCGACCTGCCAGCACAAGGCAGTATTTTTTTAAGTCTATTGCAGTTGACATATCTTTATGATAACCTCATCTAGATCATATAGTTTCCTCTGAAGCCTTGTGCCATGTAGAATATCTTGCTGCTGTGTAACGCTTCTTGTCCAAGCACTTCCAAGTGCTTTACAGTCAGACCTCAAAATGTTTCTGGAAGATTAAACATCCTATAATTCTAGTTTTATAGAAAAGGAAAATGGAGCACAGACTAGTTAATTACTGTGACCAATAAGTGGAAATTTGTAGCAGTAGGGGGCGTATGTTTCAGAACTCATCCTTCTGTCTGTGGTCAATGGGAAATGCAACTTTGCAGTCCTAAAAATGAATTTTCTTGGCACTGCTTGTCATAAGGCTCTTGCAGAATTTCTTTTACAAAACATTACCAACTGCAAAGATTACCAGTCATTAATACAGTGACATACCAGTTGCTCTGGCTCCTCCAAGCTTAGTATAAAGCATTATTAGTGGAGCAATAATAAGCAATTGCAAAGATCAAATCCAGAGCAGAACGTTAAAAGGAAAGCAATTTCCTAATCATAAAGTATGTTGCTGCTTACTATCTTCAGAGATGGATTCCTACTATTACACTTACATGCAAATTTACATCTCTTGTGCAAAGTCCTTGCATTTGCAGATAGCTCTGCCCTTAGGATATCTTCCCAGTGGTATAAGCACACCACTACACCTCTTATCCTTCAACTGATACATGGCAGGCTTTGGAGCTAGAAATGCCCTGCATAATTATCAGCCTCCCGTCTGCTGCCAAATGGGTATTTCTATGATATTGCAATACATATATTTTTTTTCCTAGTCCTTGTATTGAGGTATGTTTCTTTCCAAAGTGAGATCAACTCTCAGCAAAAGTACTTGTTAGATCAAAAATCAGGGTTTCATTTTTGATTAACATGATGGATCACTACAAGTCATGTGCTGCCCTGTCTGAGAACATGCTAAATAATCTTTACTGCCACCAGTAGTAAAAGTCTCCTTGAGACTGCCAACAAATTGGCAGCATTCCCCAAGGTCACTCATTCTTGACAATATTAATTTTTTTTTAATTCCATGCAAAGGGGCATTTTCCATTGACACTGGAAGTTTTGCTTCTTGTTTTACACAGAATAGTGGAAATCTTACCTGTGAGCTCCCTGTAGTAATTTTTCTCACTATTTTTATTGTACCTCACTCCAAGGGGTCCTGTATTAGGGTGGAGATTCCAAGGTGTTACAAGAGTACAGGTAAGCAATGGAGTCTGGCATAGCTACAGCTGTAATAAAGCTGGTAGGATTATACTGGGGAGATGTCAGGCAATGAGGTCCAGAGTGCAGGGAAGGGCCATAAGGAATGGCCAGAGCCTGGGCTGGGGTGCAGCAGGTAACTTTGTCTATTCTGCTTGTTACAACTGAATCATGGGGATAGAAGGACCCTGGTTAGAAATCTCTGAATGTAGGAAATGCTGGCTTGGAAAAAAAATCCCCAAATCTGATTCCCATCTCCATTATGGCTTTTATGTCCAATCTTGTATGTGCAAACTGGGGGGTGGCTGCACCGCCCTCTCCAGCACCTGGAGCTGTCGACCTTGCATATAGTCTGGGTTTAGGCAAGAATGTGGGGTTGCCCTCCCCTCCACCCCGTAGGTGAGAGGTGGATGCTTCGTTTGCTTCATTTCTGCCATGGTACGGAGGCTTGTTAGGTAGACAGTGCCTGGAGCATGTTTAAAAAAAGGTTATTCTCTGTGTTCATCCCCTTATCTCATCTTTAGTCATTTGCCTTTTATTGCCTACCTTTACTTCCTATCAGCATTGATGCTGAATGCTAATTACTCTGGGTGAATATATTTCAAAGTTATCATAAGGGCTCTAGGTTTATTTCCATAGCTTTTGATTTCCTACAGAGCACTCTAGGTCTCTGAGCTTTTCCTCTCAGTCTTGAGGATTAGGATGGCTGACAGGGCCTGGAGCCTGGAGATTTGCCTTTCTCTTATTTCTCCATGGTAAAGAAGGCTCCTGGGATCTGGGCAGTGTTAGACTGAGGTGTGTGAGAGCCTTGGCTCAGGCCAAGGGTGGGCCTGATTTTTTTTATGCCTGCTCCCTCACCCAAGCTCTGATTTGGTGACTCCAGAGATGTTGTTTTGACAGGGTAAGGCTGGTCAGTCCTCCTCTCCTCCTCACCCAAGGACACAGCAGCAGGTGTTACTGGGGTAGTTTCCCCTGGCAATGTATTTGGACGTCTGTGACCAAGGAAGCCTTGACATGTGGTGGGTGATTTCCGTCCTCTCAGTAGTTGGTGGGGAGGTGAGTAGGAGCAGCAGCAAGAGGTAAATCTCCTCTCCAGCCTCCTTAAATTGCGTGCTGGGGTATTGGGCAGTGGGACAAGTGAAAAAATGCTGCATAACTACTACAGAAATGAAAATATAATTGGGAAAGAGGCCTATAGTTTGACAGAGCATGTTAGGACAGTTAGGGCAAGGATATACTTGGTTTGTGAGAAAGAAATAATTAGAGTCTTGATACCTCCTCTGGGATGAATGGATAATATCTGACAGTCACTGGTGTGTACATGAAAATCACTGTTAGAGGCAGGTGTATGTGGGGTATAATGTCTATGTTAGCAGGTCATGCCTGGCAGTAAGAGCAGAGCTGTGAACTGAATAGTGCTGAGGCACCAGCGCTTGCACTCCAGGTGTCTGGAGCTGGTTTGTGGGAAAACAGCATCTTATTCTTACACTGCCATGTACGAGATGCACTGAGGTACTATTTATGAAGAAGTTCAAATGCATGTGGGCACATACCTGTAATGTGGATGGAGTCACTGTTTCTCAGTATCAGTCTGTCTAGTGGGATGGGCTGGTCTAGGACTGTGCAAAACCCACCCTCTCTTATGAGGGACTGCAGCTCAGGAGAGAGGGAAGGACAGACAGTGATTAAGCTGATGTCTGAGCCCCCGTATTTCTGGAAATAGAAAATGAAGTTGGTTAGCTGGTTGTCTGCCATCTGCTCATGAAGTATAGACACTAAACAGCCATAGATGATGTGTTTTATCAAAGGTACACAGACAGCTTATTTGTGAGGAACCTCAGAAAAATTCATCAGTACTGCAGTTCTCCTGCAAGGTCACACCTTGTACTAAAAAAAACACAATAGAAACAAGTCCATGGGCAGAAAAGTCAGCTAAAGGTGTTCAAAGGTCTTTTTTTCCCCCCTTCCCCTCCCTTCTTCTTTTAATAGCAGGCCTCTTCTCCATTCCTTGGAGGTGCTTTTTCCCATGCTCCTATGCATACTTGCAGAACACACAATTGCTGAGCTCCAGACAGGTTGCAGCACCTCACAGAAGTGTCACCAACACGTATGTGGGGAAACTCTCAAAGAGACTTGCCTGTGGGCATCAGGCCCTTTGAATCCCTTCTCCCTTCATTTCTGCCCATGCTATGGGATGGTGTTGCTGTTTTACCATCTCTCGCTGCATTCATTCTCTATCCTACAAAGGCAGATCACGTGCTTCCTTCTTTTTTTTTTTTTAAAGAAAAAGGTCTTTAAATTGGACACAAACTTCTTGAGATTTAGCACGGGTCTGCTTAACCTTCATTTACAGCATCTTCATAAGCTTAATTAGCTAGATGTACTCCTACACTGAAGCTTTAGGAATTTCAGGTCATCCAGTGCCTGTTTTTGGTGGAATAGAATTTTCTCTATACCATCTTTAATCAATAAAAATATTCTTAAGAAGAGGCATTATATCTCCTTTTTAAACTACAGGAAATCAAGGCCACATACAACAGGCGGTGTTGAAACTGAGAGAAAAAGTCAACCTTCCATCTATTTTAGCATTTCCCTGTTCCCCTCCCCCCCCCCC